CTTGTTTCCTGTCTGAGTTCACGTGTGATGTGAGATGTAACTCTCACTGCAGGGTCATCTGTGGCACAGGTCAGTTCAAGTAAGCATGTTTAAATTACTGACCATTTATGGTGGTCAGCTGAGTTCCAATTGGCCCTTTTTTGAGCCCCAAGGCTCATCTGAGGTCAACATGTTAGAAAACTAGCTAAGAGGGGTCACCTGAGGACAACATGATCTCCAATGATGTCCTTGGAGGTCCTCTGAGTTCAATACTGCTCTGATTTGATGCCTGGGGGCACTGAAGGTCAGCTTTATACCCAAAAAATTTCCCATGCTCACCCTGGCCCTTGTTTTCATTCCACAAGTTATTTGAAGTCAAGTTCAGAAACAATTAACCTGCATAGGAATCATCTGAGGTAAACCTTAATTCCACTTAGTCACACCAAATGATCTTTTGAGGTCAGTCTGGCCTCCTTTGGTGCCCAGAGGTCACCTGAAGTTAATCCAGACTACACTGCCTTAAGGTCACTTGAGGCCAACCTTAAATCCTCTTAGTAGCACAGGGGTAATATGTGGCCATCTCTATCTTTCATTTGCTGTTTTAGGGTCTTTAAAGACCACCCTAGACCACCCTTACTCTCCTTAGTCAGTTTCTGTGCAATGGCGACCTCTAAATTTATGCCTTCTCTCTCCAATCCCTTAATTTGATGCATAGAAGATATCTGAGAACAATTTTGGGCTTCCCCTCTTCACTATTTTGTGGCCATATTCTGCCTCTGTACTCTGATAATGTTCCTCACAGGTCAACCCCAGCCCTTTTGTGCTTCTCAGATTGAGAGTGGTAACAATCAGCTCTTCTGTGTGTTATGGCTATTTAATCTCAGCTACAGGCCTAATTTGAGGGGGTTGCCACAAGAGTTCAAATCCTTCCCTAGGGGGGTGCAGGCTGGGATAATCTGTGGTCACCTTCTACTTTCAGTTTGTTCAACAGTCAGCTGAGCTCAGTATGAAATTTTTCTTCTGCAGCAATAGTTACCATAAGTTAGGGAATCAAACTGTCTTCCAGAATAATTCAAGATATAACCAACAGGGTAAAGGCCTGGGTTACTCCAGACAGGCTTTTCTTTATTACTGGGATCACTTTTTCAAGCCAAAAGTGACTTGCATCAACATCCTAAGAATGGAAAACAGATATGAAAGGTAGAGGATATAACACATTTGACAATGAAGTCAATGGAAAGTCATTCATTTATATCAGCTCCTTGTTTACGCTAGTGGCTGTACAGGCTTTTTACATCAGAGATCTACAATCAGAGTGAAAAAGAAGACTGTCATATTAAAGTGATGATCTTTATTTTTCTTAAACCAGCAACAGTGGTTTACTAACTACAAGGTTTTCTAAGAATCAAGCATGCACCTCAACTCAAAAAAAAATCCAGAGTTTATTGAACATCTAATAAGTTATAATCTAACAAATAAGTAAAACATCTCATAAAGTATCTACTTTCTGCTTCTGTAAAAATAAATTTTTACTTATGAGACAAGTAAGCTGCAAGTATATCGACTACAAAAATAGAAACTCATGCCACTACAACACTAAAACAAAAGGAGAGCTGGAAAACACACGATAAATATAGAATCAATACCTGTTTATTAACTTGAGATTAAAAATAACTGCATTATTTTCTGTATGTTACTTTCACCTGTTTCCCTTAGCACTTGGAAACATCTTATTTCTTTCTACGCCCCTGAAGAACAAAAATGTTTTGAAAAGGTATTTTTATTCTTTAGAAACAGTATGAAATAGATTGACAAAACCACAAAAATACAAATCCATTTCTAGAAAATAGATATTTAATATCCCTTCTAGCTTTATTGCACTAACAATAAATGAATAACCCTGAATACACCACAACCGTGAATAAAAGAAATGAAAAAAAAGCATTCCTGAGGATGAGGTTTGCAATTTCTGAATATTTTTTAATGTGTTTAAGCTACATCTCCAATGCAGCAGCTGCCAGAAACACATTTTGCTTTGAGTAAGCTCAACTGAATTCCTAAGTAATGTTCTTTTAAGCTCATATTAAAATGTGAGTTTATAAATACTTCAGTCCCAATTATTTTTTCAGAACTCTACTGCCTGATTTATTTGAGCAAAGTAAGCAGGCCTTTTTTCCTGAACCCATCAGAAGTATAAAATAAATTCCTGTCTGTGTTTTTAAGCAAAAATAAACATTGAAACTTATAATCAGAAAACTATGGTTTGACATGCAAGATTTCCCCTTCCAAACAGCTGTCAAGCAACTAGAGAAAAAAACCTGTCCTGCATATCTTTCATTCCACATGCGCCGTAGTTTTAGTGTGGGACTTATTGCTGTTCCCATTAAAGGCTGCTGGGGTGTTTTTACGTTTCCAGTGGGCATGGGCTTCAATCTGAGGTCAGTATTTAGACATCAAAAGACAATTTAAAAAATGTACAGAATTTGAAGTAAGAAAGACACCAAGGACTCAGAAGACATAAAAATAACTTTTTCAAATTATTTTCATTATAATTTATTACTGAACTATAACAACGTTGGGAAGGCAAAAGTCTTTAACCAAACATCCAGATTTACATTTTACTGAAATGTGAATCAGCCCTTCCCAAAAAAATGCAAAAAAGATAGGTGAAGCAAAATTAATTAACCAGCAGAATCACTGGAATTTTTCAACTTAGTGCCTCTGTCCATGGAAAAAAATGGTGCTAGGATACAAATAGATAATGGAACAATTTCAAATGCCTCCTTTTCTTCTTTCATCACATTAATGCTTCACATTGAGCAAAATTAAATATCAAACATGTTTATATCAAATATATTTTAACACATATTAGTATCTTGCAAGGATCCCTGATTTGAAGGGAAGGTAATATGTACCTTGATGGGCCCTAACAAGAATGAATAAGATGAATCTACACTGAGCTCTACACTGTAAGAATTTTTACAAGTATTGCTATGAATGCAGGAGCCTCTCACTCTTGAAGGCAACAGGCAGGTTGTCAAGAAAAGATCATCTGAAGTATGATTTGTGCATATCTTCAAAACTTAAAAAGAAAAAAAATATGCTCAGGCCCAGCCTGGTGTGGAGTTTATTTATTGTATCTAATATACATGTTCAGAATTTATGGCACTGATTGAGGAAAACAACACTATTAGGGCAAGACTTAAATTGTCCTTGGCTTTAAAGACATATTTATGTGTCATTTAACTTAATTTAATTTAAAGGGATACTAACAGTTAGAGACCCTTTAGAGAAAGTTCTGTCTTTAAAGTATATATGTATGCATGTAAGTACATATCTCCCTAAAGCCAAACTTTAAGATTATAATCACAGGAACAGAACTACTACCTTGCCAGCAAAGGGATCAAAATCCATCATCATTCTGTAGAGGTGCAATTAAATAATCTCTTTCAGTGATAAACTAAGCCTTCTGATACATTGAATTGCTCCCCAAAAAAGCCAAACAGAAGCACATTTTTTTGTAAAATGAATAGTATAATCTAATAAGGAGAAAGGTGGGGGTTTTCCACAAAAATAATCTTATAAAAATATTTTTAAAAAGATAAAAAGCAAGAACAATCTCTTCAGGATGCTCTCTTGAACTGAAGGCATCTCAGCTGAACATAGTATAGGTGATTACTTCAATGCCATCATCAATATCATAATCAATATAAAAACTGGGAACACATAACTTTCATTTCCTATGTGTACATAGAGGTCTTCTAAATATATCAAATGAACGATAGATCATAACAAATAGCTGCCTAACACATTAAAATTTACTATCAGCTGTGGTGGAATTATGATTTTGTTTCTTATTCAAGTATAAAGTTTTCTGTTGACTTACACTTCAACGTTAGGTATTTCTACTCAATACAAAAGTACAAAGTTGCTTTAATGATAGGTGTGATCTGCAATACAACACTAATTGTATTAGAGATGTTTCTGCTGAGCACTTCACTTCAAACTTTATTCTGTAAAAATCATATTGTACTTAATTAATTTTTGTGTTTTGTGAACTCCTACTGAAATCAGATGACATCAATAGAAACAGATGCAAAAGCACACATATAATTGCATCACTGTTAAGCAAAAGTCCTACGTACAAGCTTGACATCAACAACAAGAAGTTAAATACCAAATGCAACACTATTCTTTGTGATTTGTAAAATCTTGGTTGCCTATTACAACTTTAAAACATTCTGAAGCTAAATATAAAGAAAGGCAGGTCCTCGTTAAAAGCTGTATTACGTTCAAGGTTATTCTTTATGTTTATACTAAGATTATAAATTTATCAATTTCATCAACTCAAAATGAGAAAGGTCAGTGATTCTTGTGGATCCAATAACCTAACCTTTCATTGTTCAACTTGTTCATTGTACATCAAAAGAATTGAAGGTGAAGCTCTCACTAAATTTTTCAGTCTACCTACTATATCTGTGACTATTGTTTAAACCACTAATTAATTACTCATACATTCTTGGTTTGTCTCAACAATAAAGAGAAAGTAATAATTCTGCATTTTCCTGGAGAGCCTTCTATGCTCAGGGAAACGTGAGCATGGGGCTGACTCAGCTCTGCCTCTGAAAATGAATGATTTGCACGTGTATACACTCAGCTATTTAGTAAAGAGCAGAGAGAGAAACATAAAATCACTCTTCCTTGGAAATATGCTTGTCACAGTCATTTTCCTAAGAAAGCACACTTCAGAGCCATAATCTACATTTCAAAAAAAAAAAAACCATCCAGCTCTGGGGTGACCTGTACCTGGCAATTTACTGAACTGTACCAGAAAGACCAGCCCAAGAGCATGTAAGGGGAGTAAATAAATTTTTTTTATTCCTTGCCTACAAGTTCTGTCAAGGGCCAACAGACACTACACTCGGACACCTGCATTTTGTTCTTTTGGACTGACCCGTGCCAGTGATAAGGGGCAGGTTTTCAAGCACACAAACACAGGGGCTCTGCTTACAGTCACTGCTTCACAGCCGTGTGTCATACTCCAAAGGCTCATCTGCATCATCAGCTCCTCTGGTGCTTGTCTCCATTTCTGTTCCAAGGGCTGGACCAACCCTTGCCAATGTGTAGTCACTTCTTCTCAAATCTGTGGCAAGAAAATAAATTCAACGATGCAGCCAAATAAATGCTTGAAAAGCACATACACCCCAGGTAGTGTCCTACCCAGTGACTGGTGGCAGTCTGTTAGCTATTTCCAGGAGGAAGAAAATCTGCAACATGGCAAATCAGAGCAAGGGAGATGAGAGCCCTGGGTGGACCCAAAATGGTGTGAGCTGATAGGAATGAACCTTCTCTGGCTATACTCATTCGGCTGATTTTCCCCTCCATTACCTCTAGCTGCCACAGAAACAAATAATCAAAAACAGTAACACTGCAGTTTCTGTTTCAGAATTGAACAGCAATTATTACTCCAGGTAGGCACTGAAAGGAAGGAGCATTCCCCTAGAAAAAAATAGGTGGATGGTAATTTATCCAGAATAGCAATCTGTTTTGCCTTTGAGTCTTTTAAATGTGCCCTACATCAAACAGAAGCAAACTGTATCAAATCTAACCTGAACAACAGGCAATCCAACTAAGCAGAAGTAAGGACTGTAGTGTATAGAACCCTATCCCAGGGCCAGGAAACCTCCAGGGAGTTTCCTCCAGCTAATGGATTGCCAAGTTTTAGATTGTTACTCTTTCTCATTCTAAAAATTATTACTGACATTATCTGTAGTGATGACCCTGGAAAAATGAGCTACCATTTTGCAAAGCAAAGGAAACAATTCAATGGGTAGAACTTGTTCATGCCAAATGCAAATTGGCTGTTGATAGGCTCCAACCCTTACATGGTTGCTGTGCAAAAGAGCAAGGTAGAAGACCAATATTCTCATAGGTGCCTTTGTACAGAGAGAGCGTGCCTACTATAATCTTCCAGCTCAACAGAATTTTGGTTCTTTTCTTTACAGCACACCCAGGCCTTTACTTCCTTGCACTTAAAAAGTTATCTATAGATTAAAAATTAATCTTCACTTTGCATACCAGGAAGTTTCAGCCTCCTGCAGCAAGAGTTACAATGATGCTTTGTGATGAAGTTTCTTATTGCACCTTCTCCTAGGTTTGCTGGTCCAAATACCATCTTTCCAGATCTAAAAGAAATATTATTAAACAATCAATGAACTCAAAATAAAGCCATTGTAGGGGAGGGAGATGATGATGTATTCTATTTTTTAAATCAGAGATAAGTTAGCCATTTGTAGAAATACAATCAAAGCTTAGCATACTTCACAAGTTTCTTATCTCTTGGGACAAGAAAACTGCCACTTCTGGTAAAATGTTAGCCTACATATACTCCACACTACTTTTCCTTACTGATGCATCTCAGAGATGCTCTAAAGGGAGACAGGACAGACCCAGCAGTTCCTACTATAATGCTCAAAGAAAATTTGAGCACAGCGACATTTAGACAACATATTGTCAGAATCTGAATAACTCTGTTACAGCCACCACTCATTCTCATCAAGCAAATGGTTTGATTCTAGTTTTGATGGTAGGCACTTGGGAACAAACCAGAGCCAGCAAGGACTTACTTTTACCTTGTTTAAGAACAGAAAGCAAAAAGCAAGCAGCTCCAGTCACATCAATATGCAGCACAGAAAGAAAACACTGTACACTGCTGACAAGCAAGGCTTTAAAATTTATTGGCTTCTTCCTATGCTCATTTCCATGTGTCTACACTCTGGCCAATTCAGCAAAGTTACTTGGTGATCCATTTGCAGAAGTGTATTGCATAATCTGAATTAAGCTGACAAAATTACAAACAGAAGCAAGATATATCCATACATATATTAGAAGTACAGATTATTATAACAGATTCTTAATGTAGTCTGAAAGATCAGTATTCATCAATTTTAATATTGCTCCACCATTATTCTCAAGAATTCTAGACATCACAGAACATGGTGCACAAAAAAACACTTGCAAAAAAACATTATGAATGCTAGTATTTTATTTTAACTATATGCAGAGTGGAAGCAACACATTTTCAAACCTAAAATCAATTGCAACTCTGAGAAGCTATAGAAAAAGACTTTAACTTCCTCCAATCTATGTGTAATGTACACTAACAAAATATATTCTCTCTAAAGAAAGCAGTTTTCAACTATGACACTCCTCTTTCACACAGGAGAAAGGCAAAGATTAACCAGAACTACTAGAGAAGGCTTGGTATCTCTCATTTCTGGTAGATACAAAAGACTATCTGTCTCCTGGATCATCTGAAGGACTCATCTAATCAGTCTTTACTGCAAATTAGTACATCAAACATGCCAAGAAGTGAAATATTATTTAAGTGCCATATACATACTTTAAATGACATGATGCTATATAGCCATTTCTATCCCTTGGCATAATCTGCTGAAATGGCAGTAAGAATAGAACATACCTAAGTGTTTGCTTAGGCAGGCATAGGAAATTGAGAAGACCTCACTAATTCCAAGCATGCAGAACCACTTTGCTACTTCCTTGGCTCTGTTACTCTATGCAAAGTGCAGCAAATAGCACAAGACAGACTGATAATTTTCTCACGCTCCAAGCACTGGCAAAGGTTCAAGAGGAATACTGCTTTTAAATTTGGAAAACTATTTCAAGAAACATGGGGATAAATCAGGGAAAATAACAAGAATGACCAGTAGTCTAGAAATCATGACACACATTAAAAGATTAGGGGGTAGCCGAAAAAGAAAAAAAAAAAAAAAAGAAAAAAGAAGTTGAAGGAGAAGATGGTGACTATCTTGGAGCTGTTGAAATTTTTTTCTCTATGTGGACAGTAGACAGGACCAGAAAGAAATGTTTCAAGAAGGTAATCAGACACAATTTTTCAGACAGTAATGACAGCAAACGATTGAAAACACATGCTCTGAGAAGTTTTTAAGGTCATCCTTGGAAGACCTTAAGATGTGTCTGTACAAGACCTGTAAAGCCAGGAATGACCCGGTGCAGAAGAAGACGCAGATGAACTCTTCAGGTCCCTTCTAACCCTACAAATATTTTATAAACAAGGTCACTCTCCTGGTTATTCAAGGTCTGATTTTGTCTCCAAGGAGAGAAAAATACTGAGCCCAGCTTTCCTGTTTCCCAAGCAGGTACATTAATGTGAGCTAATGGGCTTAAAAAACCAAAATATGCTCCTCCTTTTGCACAGAACCTTACCTAACGGTTATGCTCCATTAATGCCTGCTAGACTGTACCGGAGTGGTCCTGGCCAGCAGGCAGATAACAGAGACTGTACTGATGCAAAGATTGCTCCTTATAGTCCAAAGCTACCAGTGCTCAAAGCAGACAATGAGACATTTACAGGGCTTTACTGATGGAAGATAAAGGACTGTGGGGGGCTTCATGGCAAGAGAAGCTTTCCAGGGGGTTGTCCAAGTCATTTATTCGGTCTTTTTTTGCAGATTTACCTTTCAGTCCACCTGCTTCAGTTATACAAGTTTCTACAGCAGAGGTTCAGTTCATGCACATGTTTTGTCTAGTGGCAGCAAATTAATTGTAAATTGTTTGGCTGGAAGTGCACAGCTTGGTAAAATTCAACAGATTTGTTCTTCAAAACACATGCTAATGAGCAGCTTCAGAGAACACAGTCTCTACTCCTTACTAAAACCTTCATCCCATCACTATCTGCTTGAGAGCTTTCAAAACGGAGAGCAAGAGACCTAGCAACTCTGACTCCTTGTTTTCACATTTGCAATTAGATTTGTGACAGCCAGCGCCCTTTTCTCACCTCTCTCAGCAGGCCTAAGGCATCAGTTCTTTCCAATTTGAAACTCAGCCCACTATTTTCCTCATCTCTGAAACTGCTCTACACACACTCTGCATCTAGTGTCTGTGAAAGCGTTACCCATGTGGACTTTGTTGTGGTTTTGGCAAGTAGTACGTGCTAAAAAGAGCATCCAGAGTACTGTTTATGAGGCAATTCTTATGGTTTGGGCAGTACAGGGGTCTGCACCATGTCACGACCTTGCTGCTATGCCTCGATTACTTCTGCTTTTAAAGTAAATATTTTTGTGAACATTATAGCCATACCAGTTTATCACTTCATACATCCTTTGTAGTGCACATGGCCAGATCTTCAATTGATGTTAAATATCGATGAACTTACACTGATTTACATCATCTCAGGATCTGACTGAGATGTCACGGTATCAGGTATACTTTCCAAATAGATCTGTTATTTTTATGTTGGTACCATATATAAAACCAAGACACAACACACTATCAAAGAGCTAGTCACATTTTGCCATTACAAAGACCATTTCAAGACAGCATGCAAGAAGCATGAAAGAAAAGACTCATTACAAGATAATGACATGAGCCACTAAATCAATGGAATTAAAGAAGCAAAACATAAATAATTTAACCATAAGCAGTGCTAAAATTTGAATCAGCCCCATGAGTCAGATGCCATCTATTTTCTCCCAGGCTTCTAAGAGAACGTGAGCTCAAAGCAACTCTTGAGTTCTTGAGTATCTTACTTACAAATGAAAACTTAAAACAGATCTTGCTACTGCCAGAAATGTTTCTCTTGTGAGTAAATGAAGGTTAGAGCAAAGACAGTGTTTTTACATTGTTGTTGTTATTACTGTTTTAGAAACTGTTGCTTAGAATTGGGTGTCTGCTAGCTGCTTACAGAATCCATCCATGGTTTCACTGCTTTATTCCTTTAGATCCCTGAATCAAAACAATACAGTTTCACAACATTCTCTTCTGAAGATTTCCCTGAACATAAGGAAATCAAGCTGGTTTTGATTAATTTATCAACACTTGCTCTTTAACTAGGACTGTTTTGCAGATGATAAAAACCAAAACAACAAAAGTTCTGAAAATAAGATCTCCATGATCAAATTTTAGTAAGCATGACAAAACTATTTAATAACAAAAATAATCCAGAAGGACACTAACAAACATACGCTTCAAGGTAATGTACATAAGTATTATTCCTATTTTAAAGAGGATAAGCTGAGTTGCCATGTGAAGTACTGTGGTCAATGACTGACACAGCCTTCACTAACAGCTATTACAGTTTATGCTACCATTGATAGAAAAAATCCTCTTGAACAGTAACAAACCAGACTTCTATAGATCTGTAGCAAACCTTAGAAAAGGTTTGCTTGCTAAAATCTAGTGAACAACTACAGGACTGACCTCCCTGTCTCTCTATCCTAAGATATCCTTGTGCTTCTGTCACAGTCCTATGACCTACTTAGGGCAAAGATTTTGTCACTGTGAGGTGCCCAGCATATTTTCGATGTTGCTTTCAAAATAAATGTTATATGGCAAACACACCTACATTCATAATTAAACATTCATACAACATTAATACAGTCATTTTTTACTAATCTTATTAATGAAATATTAATAATGGTCCTAGAAGTAAAAGCCTGCTTCCAAAATTAACTTGTTCTGAGTTCTGGGCAAGTCATCTGATATCCCTATAGTTAATCGCCCTTTGTATAAAATCAGACTATACATACTTATGTCTTCCTTCCTTCCTTCTCCTGAGACACCCCTTCAATCAGATGATATGAGCTGAGCAAGAGGGAGACAAGCTAAGCACAAAACAGTGAAAGTGCAGGGATGCCAGGGCACAGCTGGAGAGATGTGTAGGTTTAGGAAGACTCCCCAGAGGAGAGGACCCTGCAGGGGAGCAACCATCAATACCACTGCTTCTCCTCTCACTAGTGAGGAGCAGAATGGGAGAATGACCATGATTATGATTCTGAAATTTGATGCATGAAGGCAGACTGCTACTTCTGTGTAATCTCTCTAGTTTTTGTAACTTTCCACACGTTATTTACCATCTCCATATCACAGCTCTGAGATTGTAACATGCAGCATGCTTAAATGCACCACTAGGACCTAACAGAAAGATCAGAGATCCAGAGGCCCTCTCCTCATCCTCCTAAGCTGTTGTGGCCCGATAAACTCCATGAAACTGTGCCCCACCAGGCAGGGAAAACTGGACTGCCACATTTAAGTTACCGATGACCTCCTTTGGTACAAATTTGTGAAGAGACTTATAGGGTCTTCCATCTCCTGTTCCTGCTTTCCCTGCACAGCCCCGGAAAACTCCTGCACTCCCAGCACAGCACAAAGATTCTCACCATCTTTCATGCTTCGCTCAGCACATGTTGATGAGCTGGGACACATACAGGCCCTGAGGTCCACAGTCCTCTAAAGCACAGCAGAGCATGTAATCTCTCCATTGCCATCATACCTTCATTTAACCCAAACATCATGCAAAAAATATTTAAATCTCTCATGCAAAACATAAAAAAAACCCTAAGTACACAGACTGTTGGCAGAACATCTGAAGTGAATGATAGTTTCATCAGAAAGAAACCTACTTTTTGTCTTCAGGTTTAATCACAGACGGATCTGTAAGGTTTTCCCCAACACCTACAAAAAAAACCAACAGTGTTACAAAGGAAGGTAGTCATTATTTCATGATCTGGCACTCAGCAAAAATGTAATTATCCATTTTCTTTGTAGATCATGAAATGTCATCGTTAAAGTCATCATGAGTTAAAAAGAAAATGCTATTAATATAAAAATATGTTAAGTATTGGCAAACATACAGAGTTCTTATTACAGTCCTGACTTCAGCTGCTTTGAGGTTTATTTATATGTAGACAGAAGGCTTATGCAAATGCACTAAATATTATGCTAAAGCTCAACTAACTAAGCAAAATATGACCAACCATTAGACTTCTATTTAAGTTGGAGTAAAGGTATTAATCAGATGTAGATCTTACTGATATCAATAGATCTACTCTCAGATACACACTCTCTTCAAGGTAACAAACACAACAAGCCACAACTTCATTACTTGCAAATGCTTCAATCTGTTATCCCTTTTTAATTTTGGGGCCATAGAAGCATATTAAATAAATAATTTCAATATGATACCTGAATGCTGATACCTATGTTGCAGCTTTCCTCAAACTGATGACCTACTACCTTTTTACCAAAAAGCTCTTTTTTTATATCTGAGGAAATCGTTCTGCTTTTACACTAATGAAAAAAAGTCTATGATCATGTGATATGCAATTATTTTTATTTCAATAGGCCACTGATGGCGAGTTTATATTCTGCAATGAAAACTGTTAAAGACAATGAAAATAGCATACTGTGACTGAAATACCCCAAATTGCAATTAAGGTAATTTCAGTTGATGCAAATTAGACAAAATGTGGTATGTAGAGATGGCCTAGGTATTATATACTAAATTGTGATACAGATTAATCCTATTAGAATTACAAGGGGAGCAGCCATCTGACTTTTCCTGAACTCCAGATTAGAGAACTACAGGATAAACACGGGGCCAAAACTAGAGCAGATTTCAGTTTGTTTGAGATGGAAACTGAAGCTCCAGTCTTTATGAGATTTACATAGATGTTTAAATTCTCCATGTTTGAGCGAACACAGCTGGTCTGGAACTGTTGAGAGTTGTATAATAAATCGAGGCAAACTTCAGAAAAATTCTAGTAGGCTATGATGAACACACACTTACTCTTTCTATAATTTTTCATGTGCAGCTAAAACCAGGTGAAGGCAAGGATGGAATTATAGGTTTATTTTGCATAATAAGCATGTCTTTTTGTAATTCACAGCTTCTGGATGCTGTAAAATGTACATATGTTAAGTCTTTGTCTATCCATATACATTTCCTTTGACAGAAATGACAAACAATAGTGTTTATACTGTTTGATGGGTGATGTTCATCTTCCAAACATTGTCAACTGTTTTATCTCTTTAAAATATGCCATGTTCCTACTTACCCATGTACAGTACTTACACATGTACAATAGTGATCACATGCTCTTTGAAGGAGCCACCAGACTTTGTGAATAGCATTCAGGCTTGCAGCTTATGTAAACTACTTACAGATTTATTAATATGAAAAATAAAAAAATACAGATAGTAGTTTACACTCTTCTGACAGACATACACACACATTAAGTGTGCATACATACATGGGTATTCTTGAATCTCTGTAATATTTATATAACTTAACAAAAATAAAAATACCTTAACTGTGGACTGTTTCTTTGGAGCTGGCTGAAATGTTCCTGCACACTTTATCTACCTGCTTTTTTGCCCATTGAGCCTAGATGTATTTGAAGTCAAATTATCTTCTCATTACACCTACATTAATCTAGAGTGTTTCTGTGGATACTCATTTATCAGTGCCGCACAAGAGATATCCAGGAGTTTCTTGAGCTTTTCCAATATGTAAATAAGAACACAAGTTGTCCCATTCCTCTGTATTATTTAATTGGGTTCCAAATAGTGATCCCATGCTAGCAGTCACCTTGTAAATCCAGGACAAGGAGCTCCCCACGGGTGTACACGTAAGTCCAGTGAGAGAAGGCCAGCATCAGCTCTTCCAGCAAGCTGCTGGGAGTAATCTCATCTCCGTTGTTGTTGTTGTATTTCCGAAACTCACCAGTCATGTACTTCTCAATGGTCAGCCACTGGTTTGCTGAATGGCAATAGATGAGGAAAACTTCCAGGAACCTGTACATATAAACACTGTCTATCAGGAGCCGGCAGGGTAATGAACATCCTCACAGTCAGCACGCAGCATGATGCAAAGCAAATGTACCAAAAAGGAGGATACGTCTTCACTATCTGGAGCATTTTGAACAGCAGGAGGTGCCAAATGGTAGACAGCACAAAGGCTTTCTCGGTTTGATAATTCTCAAAACAAAGTACTTGATCAGAAATCATAGTTTACGGACGCACTGTTTATGGACAAACAACATAATCTGATTTACTCCAGCCCGCTGTAAATGAGCTATATCAAACTGTCTTGTGTTAACTGCATAAAAGGCAATTCTTGCTTAAGTCTAAGAAACAGTGTTATGAAGAAGCTTATTTTGTCATCACATGTAGCTATAAAGATGAAGTTCAAAGCTGCCTATTTTTCCTCTTAAAAATTGATTAACTATCATTAGACTGTCTAAGCAGCAACTATTTCAACACACTATGGAAAAGGAGGCTGCAACTAGACCTGGGACACAGCTGAAAAGAGAAACCTTTGGCATCTAATACTTAAATACAGTGATTTTACCTTGGAGTATAGGGAATAGTATGAGGCTTCACTTGATTGAAGGTATAGATTAACTTCTGGGCAGCCCTTTGCTGTTGGATCTCCTGAAGAAAATAATGTTATAAACACCACTTTCGTTTTCACGAAGAAAGGTGCCATGAATTTGTCAAAACAAAGAAACAAACACCTGATTTTATACTGTTTACAAATGGGAGACATATCTTCCTCAAAACCTTTACACTTTCCAAAAGATAACATCAAACCATGTCAACCATGCTGAAGACATTCACATGTAAGCAGTACAACATTTAAGGTACATCAGGCTAGACCAGTCAGTGTGCCTTCAGGTCTGAACTCACCCTCAGGCAGAGATGTAACACTGTGCCGTCATGAAAGATCTTTTGCCAAGTCTGAACCACCTCCGGCAGAAAAGACTTCACAATAAATACTTGTCCCAATTTTAACACATCATTCTCAGACCAAGTACAAATGACCTTCATGGCCCTCCGCAGACCCCCATCCATCTCCTCCCGCGACAAGACTTGGATCACTGCAGCCATACCACGCTGGGACCAGGAGGACATGCTTTTATCAAGGTTCATAGGTGAACTTTCTTCTAGCCGATAGACCGTCACTTCCTCTCCAGCTTAAATAAAAGGAAGTTTTGTTAGCAGAAGTCACAGATTGCAGACACAGGAGAGAACTGATTTTTGATTTGGTGCCTTAAAATAACATACCACTTTATACAGCTTTGTAAGGCACACTTTAAAAGAGAGCTTTTTTATCATTACTGTTCACATGTGCAAAAACTTCCCCAGCCTAAACTTACATTACTTATTATACACCTTCTGCTTAAGACCTACTGTTATAACGTTAAGTGGTCCAAAGAGCTTGTATTAAACCTCTAAACAGAGATGAATTTAAGACCTCCTTGGCACTTCCATACAAACAAAGCTCATTGATTTATACAGACCAGAATATCAATCTCAGCTGCCACAGTTTTTTAAGTACTTAAAGATGGTTGAGCTTTAAAAGTACATATTTTTAAAGGGTTACCATTTTATCTCCAGTGTATGAACTTTAAATACCTGAGCATGGCTCCCTTTGGTTATACACTTAGGTAGAAGGGGAATTTCTAGAAAGACTTTTTAAAAGTTAATCAAGATCCATGGAACACTCACAGTATTTTCTTTCTAACTGCGCTTGAAAAAAAAAAATCCAAAGAAACAAGGTAAATAAAGACACAGAGATTGTAATAATTATCAACTACAAAATTAAATGGCTGGAGAGTGCTACCTTTTGACACAAACAGAAAGCTGACTTGTTTCAGAAATGGTGACTTGGCCACAATGAGCCAAGGAAATAAGATTGAAAAGGACATGATTTTCCTCGGAGAAAGAAATCCTAGGAGAACAAGCTAAAGCAAATGAACAGGACGTTTACAGTTTTGGTGTTTTAAACTAAGATTTGCATTTTTCCTAGAAATTCTAATGTTATTTTTACTGCACAAAATTTCAGGTGGTCCGCTCCTGCTAATAGTATTTTTTCTGAAACAAACCTGATGAGCTTTAACTCAGTCCCACTCTGTTTCCCTAGATAGTTGTAATAGTGTTCCTCTCTTGCAGCATAAGTCAGACACCTTTCCATTGTCATCATTTGTAAATTAACAGAAAAGTGGACTGATTAATTAAACCTGTCTTTCCTTCTTTCAACTCACTTTATTTGCAATGTTAATTCATAAGAAACAGGTTTTCACTGGCATGTGTGATGAGGTAGCTTCGTCCAAGAAATGGCAAAGAATTGTATAAGGAAGGACAAACTGGAATCAGGCTAGTAGATTGCCTCCCCGCTCTTGCGTCTACCTTCACCAGTTATTGCAAATGTAGATTCTATGAAATGCCACAATTTGCACACGTTTTAATTTAAAATAAATCAATGGAAAAGGCAGTGTTTTACATAAAAGATAGACACTTGAATAAAGACACTATAACTAGACATATTTTTTAATCTTACATTAATTCTTCATTTTATTATCTTTTGACAGTTTAATACCTAGAAAGGTGTCTCCCGGGAGCTTAAAGGATTAGAAAGTTCAATATGCTCATAGCTATATTAATTATCTGCAGCAACCTGGTCCCTAGAAATCTTATGATGCTGCAAGTGTCAGCAATTAGTTGCTGTGAGACAAACTATTCTACCCATTGAAAAGAAGGCACTTAGATCTCAAGTGTCTAGAGGCAGAGCTTCTACTGCTGTAAGCCAATACTGCACACTGATTTCAGAACTCTTCCAAACAATTTATGTACTCTTCTCTACCACTCTTCCGTTACAGCACAGTTCTTTTTTCCTTGGTACACTATAAGCCTCCTTTACGAGATACAGGAGTAGTGTCCTTTCAGCTAATACCTGGTTTTCTTCTCGATGGGATATCCTACACATCTGTCTACATGTGTGTGTGAGACAGAGAGAGAAACAGAGAGAGAATGCAGGTATTAAGGTTAAGGGGAATCTTTTTGCTGTCTTTTTTTTGTAGGGAAGATGGACTTAGACTCATCTCTGAGGTTGATAGTAATCACATGAATGCCAATAGACACAAGCTACAGCAAGGGAAACCCCAAAAACTACTGTGAAAAATACTAGGTTCACAATGAAGTCAGTCAAACACTAGAAAAGGTTGTCCAGCGAAGCTTTGGAAACTCCATTTATAGGCATATTCAAAATGCAATTGGACAGACCCTCAGCAACATGATCTGAGTTGGCCACAGAGGGAGTTGAACCAGAAAACCTCCAAAAGTCCCAAAATTACTGCATGACTACAATTCTGTCCTGGATCATCTCTTCTAGAAAAGAAGAATTGACGAAATTAATCCAAGGAAATGTCTTTAGTCTTCAAAAATATAATGCACCAACTATTTATAAAGCAAAAAACAAACAAACAAAAAAAAAAAACCCAAGAAGTTGGTACTCACCAAAGAGCTGGACTGGTGTAAATGGTATGGTCTGAGCAAGTCTCATTAAGTTGTTTCTTTCAACAGCTGCAAACAACATAGATTTCACTACTATACTGAATAAACAACAAGCTGGCTGAGTTTCAAAAACATCTGGGTGTGGTTTACTGTAGTGTACAAAGCCGAGGAGGCTGCAGTGTGATCGTGTGTCAGAATCACTGATCACCATTCTACTCAGTCAGCAACTCCCCTTCACATGCCCATAGCATCTCTAGTGTCTCACAAGCATTCTCTTTCCCCTGTTCATTGATTCCCTTCTTCTAAGGAAACAGCCTTTCTGGGACAAGCCCCTTGCACTCTGTCTAGAAGGACTGCTTCTGATAACTCTTCATCCTTCTCCTTCCACCAAGGGCTGCCGCTCCTTCCTCCTCCTGCCAGCTCCAGTGCAGCACTGTTCATACTATGCCAATGAGATACATTGGCCTCAGCTGCCCTCACTGCCTGTCTCATCAGGCTCAAAAGCACCTAGGGATTTAGCAAGGCATCACAGGAAAATCCAAGCTTGTCCTGCACAGAGCACTGCTTCTTCATCTGGGTTCCTCACCAAACAACATCAGTAACATTCTATCTCCATTATTGGCTGCTTATTTCTCAGGCAAACACCTTGAAAACTTCAGGGCGCCAACTAAATATTTATGGATTTGTCCTCACAATGACTCAGTTATCAGGAAAGGGGAGAGAGGTATGAAGTAAGCCACAAAGAGGGTAAGACTAGAACAAGGAGGTAACTCAGGTGCTACAGTGCTGACTGCCTAATTTTGGTATTCAATGGCTGAAGACAAAACAAGAATCCAAAGCACAGAGTGAACCACGGCAGAGCTGTTGTTTCTCTGCAGAGTCCTTCTTTTTAAGATTATTTCTCTGAGCAAAAAATAATTAGAGATTATTTAGCCCAGGAGAGAGCAAAGAGGACTCAACCCATGAAGCAGGGTTCTCATTTGAAAAAATCTGCGTTTCGGACTCCACTTCAAGGCTTGTTTACAGGCATTGGTTAACATGACTGAATACTTTTGGAGCACGGACTGAAAATCAAGGTCCTCCCTTGATGCCTCACTAGGAACACATTCTAGTAATGAAATTAGTGCATAGGAGGGACAAGGACGTGAACAGGAGAGCTGCCAGATCCGTGCCATCTGTCAGACCCTGCCAGCACTCACTCTAGAGCCTCTAGAAGCAATGTGAAGTGGACTTGCACCAGCTGCTGAATTTGGGTAAAAACTCAAGTTATTTTGGGAGTGCACAGAGGCAGAACTGTATTTGCCTGCACAATGTGATAGCAAAAATAATGCATAAGCAGTATATCAGTATATGGTGTAGGATTTTAGTATCGAACTTTTGGGCTAAATTCTATCCCAATTTTCCTGAGGAAAGAAAACCTACACGGGAAATCTCTCCAGACGTTTGGCAACTCATAATGGAAACCACTCTCATCTGTGCTAAAAAAGTCCTATGTAATCTCAAATAGCATGCCTAAAGAGAGACAAATTAATCACTGCAACAATGTCACGATGTCAGAGAAACTACTGCTGTACACTGATAACAAACTAGGAGGTGTTATTCCCTGTGAAAATCGCATAGCTTTTTGAACTTCAGGAGGATGCTAATGCTTCTGGTTTACCCCAGGCTTCCCTTTAAGGAGGCCAAGTCCTGCAGGCAACAGAGACATCTACTGGCAAGCTCTTCTCTGTTCTCCTCCGGGAAAAGCAGCAATCCAAGCCTTCTGGGAAAATCTGTGCATACTCAGTTCAGGAAAAGACAGGACTGCAGGCAATTAGCATTCAAATGATTTATTCCCTGTCAGATTTCTAGGAGTTCATAGGTATATAAACACAGACTAAGTAGTACAGGACCAATTAACTGAAGAAACCACTTCCAGAAAGTACAAAGGAGGATGTGGAAGGCATGAGGGGAAGTGACAGCTATAAACAAATGAGTGCCTCTTCTGGACCCCCAGGATCTGGAGCTCTATGCACTGTTTCCACTGATATTTTGAAAGCAATTATCTACATTCTGCTCTGGATTTGCCAGAAATACCCAGAATGGAGCAATTAGCGCAAGAAAATAATTCATAATTTCCTCACTGGAGTTTTAGGCGTGAATTAATACAGAACCTTCTTAGCAGTGGGCAATTGTGCAACTCTTCAAAATGGAAATCACAGAGGATGACAAGGGAAGAACGAATGTTCTTTTTAATTTGCTAAATTACTCAGCTATCATTCTGGTGCTTCCTGCTTACCTGAGTAGTGATGATGCAGATCTTGAGATGTTTTCAAGCAGGCGAAGAGATCTGAAATAATGTTTAAAGGATTATTATGTTAATTATTACAGCAGAGATAAATGCATGATTTTTTAATTCCTTCCATTCCAGAGTTTGTCATGAAACAGATTAATCAGAGTTCTGATGTCTCAGCATTCTAAAGAGGAGAACTACTACTAGGCTTTAACCACTTTATAATCTACAGTATATTGGCAGATTTCAGCCACCAATGTAGTATAGACAGATGACTTATTTATTCAGGGAAATGGTGGGAAACTTGTGACATTAACCTCAAGGACATGTAGCTCCTCTAAGCCAATTATATCTCTCGGATATTAAAAGCACTTTGCTGTCCATCATGCTTCACAGCCTCCCAAAGGCATGACTTTTCCAACTCCATCCTCAGTCATTAAGCATTCCATTAACTATATTGTTACACCAAAGTTATAATAATACTGTCCCATTAATCCACATCATCTAAAATGCAGTTAAAATAGAAACAGACAAACAATTTCTGTGGTTAAGTATTTAACAGGCACAGCCAGATCAAATTTGGTCCAAAAACCTTTGTTTTATAAAAAGTCTTTAAAAAATACAAGATTAATGAGCATGTTTCCATTAATTAGATGAAAACACTTTGTTCTGTTGGAAGATAATCCTTCAAAATACCAGATTTCAGAAAATAGGTATGCTGTACTGCTTTTCATTCAGAAAAATTAGATGATCAATACTGAATCTTAATCAAAATATTTGAACATTACACTTTTCTTCTTGATGTATTTTATTTGCTTATATTCCCTTTTCTAGTGAAAAAGATCTTAAATAAAAAACATAAATAGATGTTGGAGGAAGGGCCAGCCTTTCCACTAAATGGCACTGGTGATTCAAGGTCCTTCTTTGCTCTCTTTCTTGCTGGACCCAACTAGTTGTGTTGTATTTCGTATGTTGTGAAACAACAAACATGAAAAGGAGAATGGAGGCTGTCATCCCTTGTGAGGATTGGAAAACTGGATTTTAATCAAAGCAATGGCGCACTCTAGAGACTAGCCCCACAACTCACTATGCTTGCAGCAGTCTTTTATGCACAGCCGGACCCAGAAAGAGCAGTGCTTGAAGGGGAGATAAGTCTAAGAGCGACTTGTTTCTGTGTCACAGCTAGCCTCAAAAAGAGATAGATGCCCAGCTGCTCAGCCTTTTACAGACAAATGGCATGTCAGGAAAACTGGAAGATAGACTAAAAAGGCAACAAATACAAGCCTCTACTTTTCTGGAACAAAGTAATTCCTCACAATAACCTTGAATTTCTTAATTGGTCATTTCATAATAAATTCAATCCTTCATCATTTCAGGCAAACCACACATACAGAGGAACTACACCAAAGTGCAACTTGAAAAATCAAGCATATATTAAAAATTTTATATCACAATCTATCCTCAGGTATATACCCTGCTTTAACTCAGGAAGTCTCTTAGACTGCAGGGATGAAAGCAGTACTATCATCTTAAAGAGTTTCTTCTGCTGAAAAGGACAACACTAGTGGGCAAACTAGAGCAAAAATAGATCTTTTCATTTAGAATTTTGCAGTTATCACGAGGAAAACATGCCCTCATAAAATAATTTTTCATTTTAAAGTAGAAATTAGTAACTAACATATGAAACAACAGCTGAGCATTTCCTATAACCCTCCAACTATGGTAAATTAACTTTCTTTTGGATTTTGTACTTCAGAACTGTGAGAGAGATTTGCAGAGAGGAATTAAAATAAGTGACAAGCAACCAAAAACTTACTGTCAGTTTCCTGTGAAGTTCTCAACCTGTTAAAAAGCAAACATTTGATATTTCACTCCAAAATGTCTGTCATTAAGCTAACACTGGTCCTTATAAAGAGATGTGATCCACGTGAAGTAGAAACTCACAAAGGTTTGATCAGCAATCATAAAACACCCTCAGTGAAACTTTGTTCGTTGCAACAGTCACCAAATAATCTTCAGTTACTGAAGAATAGCCACATTTTTCTGCATGTTTCTTTCTCTGCTTTATTGTGAGCTGCTCATACAGTTCTGCTCATCTGTTCACATCATTTACACTGCAGTAACAGTATCAGTTAAAGACCACTTCAGTCGCATCTACAACTGTTCATTTTTCAATCAATGCTGAGATGCATTAGAGCTAGATATGCCATTACCATTGCTTGCACAAAACCAGATTTTTTTAAACTGATGGTCTTTTGGATTAGCAAGGCTGCAGAAAGACTACAGGATCAACATTAAAGCAGTCTTTATTACAGAAGACAGTGGATATGATTCACCTCACAGACCAAAGAGAAGACACAGACCACGAAGACAACAAACTAAGTGGCTGAATCAGGCCACTCAATGGCCTTTAAGTCCTGCTGGTAAGTATGCAGTTTGCCTACTGCCTGTAAGTGACTGGGTTAATCAAAAACCAAACCAAAACCAAACAAAACAAAAAACAACCCAAAAATAAATAAAAACAACAACAACAAAAACAAATAAACACACAAAACAAACCACAGGACAGGTACAAACACACTATCTTTTCTCCTCTTCCCACGGTTAAATAATATGGAATATGTCAGTTTTCTAGTCTCATTTATTACACCCACAGTGTTACTAGGTAAGAGAGATATAAAATAAATTGATGAAAATAAGAAAGAACAGGAAAAGGAACACCAAGACAGCACTGGATGTGGAAAAAAAAATACACCCAACATTAAGACAATGATCAATCTAGCTGGGAAAAAAAAATCAAAAAACTCTACAATAAAATTGAAAACATTTTTGAAATCAGTATACTTCCACTAAATATAATCAAAACTTAATGACCAGTGAAAACCCATTAAGAAAACCAAGCTAAATATTTTGTAAATGTGCAGACTCTGTACAAAAGAGACTAATCAGAGAATGAGACAAGCTTTCAGGAGCTGCTAGCATTTTAATGATTAAAAAATGAAACACGCAATTTGCACAGCAAAAGCAAATGTAACTTTTCATGCTCACTAGATTGGAACAATGGCTAGTTAAAGATGCTGTGGTGATCTTAGTGATTGAATTAGAAAACTGGATTATTGTTTTAATAAAAAGGGGTGTCTATTCCACCTAAAATTATATACTTTGTTTAAATGGATCTCCTTTATCTCCACTAATAAGACTTCATTTAAAGAAACTTAAACTGACTGAATTGCCTTAACTCTTCATTTCACATAAATTTCTTATCCTAAGCATATTGCAGAACTGAAGTGTAAACCTGCAGAAAGTACAGAAGTCTCTTTCTAAAAGCATGCGATGAATATCTTAATATACTAGTAATACATACGAGGAGTTCCTGTTCAGATTACTTTTCTTGGTGTTTCCAAATATGCTGTTACTCAAATCCTGTAAAGAAGAGAGTTACTTTTACTGGTAACATCTGCACATCACTGTCATATACACACTGTGCAACTCAAAAAGGAACAATCTTGAATACACTTTTTGATATGCTTACTGTTAGCATGAATAATGACACTGACAGGTAGGTGAATCACAAGATTGCCATACCTTCACCAAAATGGAACTAATTTGCTCACATGACAGTTTTCCATGCTGTCTCCATACATTTGAATGAAATATTCAGGTGCCCACCTATCTCTCAATACGCTCACAAAAGTGTATAAAAGGTCTTCTAATATAGACAGCATTAGAGAACTCTCTTTATACTGGAAAATTCCAATTTAGGGACAGGCTTTACAGTTGTCGAAAATCAAATGCACCCTAATCCTCTATAACAGAAAAAGGTAACACACTGAGCAGCTTTACAGTGATATTTAGATCACACATTTTCCAGGTCTTATAGTTAAAGAAGCACTCAAATAGTTTTTTAAACTTCCAGCCATATTAGCGAAAATTGGTCTTCCTTATGTACTAGTCAGAAACAGCATTATCCTTCTGAAGAGGAGTCAGCCAGATTTCAATCCTCAAAAGAAACACAGCTCCCTCCAAAAGAGCTCAATGACAAATTTTAAAGACAAAGTAACTAAAATTCAGCTTTGAATATTATCTGAAACTCACTTTTTTTTTTTTTTTATTTCCCTCAAATTTTCACCTGGTAGCTTGCTTTGCAGATGAAAAAATCTTTAACAAAACCAAAACCTTCTTATGCACACCCTTGCTTTGCTCCCTGCTACCCATCAAGAGGGATTTCTGAACCACTGGTGTTCAATGGGTAAATCTGAGAAGCACCACTTTAGGAAAAATACATTTCTTTAGAATATATCATAGTCTAAGCAGAACAGTTGGATGCGGCAACATCATTACATCTGAGCAATATGTATAAAATCTCATAACCCAGACAGGACTTGAGAAGAAGCATAGTGACTCAGTGGGTATTGGAGGCTCTATCTTGAAAGAATGAATGATTTGAAGTCGGCACTCTGGAAGTGACTAGTTTCAGCCTAACTCTAGTCCTGCTCTAATCAGTGGAATTTTTTTGAGAACTTTAAAAATCCCACCCTTGAGTTTTACCCAAGACCTGGCCTCTTCACACAGTTTTCTTGACTGTAGCTTCATGTTGCTTGCCTGACACTATGTTTCATGTTTCAAATTTTTATTGATTTAGACTCCAAGATTAGGTTTTACAGAACACAAAATGAGTAAGTTTATTTCTATTTCTCTCTCTCTCTCCAGTCTTTTATATAAAACTCTGCCATTTTTAAAATTTAGATTCAAGCTCTCTTCCCTGGTATTTGGGATTCAAATTCTACAGCACTCAGATCAGCAGATCTGAAACTATATGGTTTATTTTTATTCCTAAAAAAATAAAAAATAAATAAATAGTAATTCATAGCATTTACAGTGAAAAAATAAGTAAGGTTTTGAAGATCACCTTTTTAATAACCAAGAGTGCTATAAGTAAAACAGGCAAGGAAAGGTGCTGTTGAAAAAGGAAGAGGAAAGGATTATTTCACAGTTCCTTTTCTTAATTTACTCTTTGTTAAATTCCTTTCATACCTCTCAGATACCCCTATGCAATGTAGTGAAAGATACATTTTCTTCCATTTTCTTTCCATTTTAAAACAGATAGAAGTGTCTATAATCCAGATTCCTGTCCCCACTCTTCAGGAATATAAATTGGTCTAGCTCCATCAAAGTCAATGAGCCTATGTTGATTTACACAGGCAGAGGACCTTTACATTACGGAGCTGCAAACTAGTTCTGATAAATAATAAGATATGGTGTTTATAATAAACCAGTGGTTTAGAAATTCAAGGTTTGCAACTAACTCCCACTTTGCAAGAAATTACTATCTCTGTGTGACAAATTAAGAGCTATGTAGCTAATTTTTCCAAAATCTACTTCACTCTGCTAACCAATTCTGTCCACAGGTTCAAGACCAAGCTGTGTCCTCATTCATTGTCTAATGAAACATCAACAAATGCATCTTTTCTGGCCAACTTCTTCATAGTCAGAACCACTCCATGATTCAGTAATTTAAAATCCTACCTCAATAACCTTAATAGAATGTTAACAGCTATTAAATTATTCATTTACTCGTACACATGCACTGTGCCTGCAGACAACATAGTTCCTCATCTCTCAAGAGGTATTTCATGACAAATAACCTATAGGGGCAAGTCCAGGGGTGGACCCTGGGCTCATCTCAGCCAAAACGATGGACTAGGACGTGTAATCTTAGGTCTTACCTCTCGAGAATGCCTCAGGTAATCACAGAATGGTATGGTATGCCTACTGATGTCTTGATTTTTCGTTTTCTGGTGCATGTAACCGAGACGTTCCAAACCTAGCCAAAAGAGCAGGAGTCAGCTATTTCCAGAGTGTAAATTAACAGCTCTACTGCTACAAACTAAACACCTATGCACTGCTATAAAATAAACACCTATATACCATATTGCTCCAACAAATGCATAATGGGGTATAAAACAGTAACACAATTTCATAGTGTTAAAGCAGTCTGTTTCCATTCTCTGTCAGCAGATTTCAGAGGAGCACAGCTCTTCTCAGACCATGCTGTGCTGAGTCACAGCATTCCCTGGTGCTTCTCCCAGAAACTCACCGGATGAAGCCAGTGAGCCACATCACAGCAAAGCTGAAAGATAAAATGAACTATGCAAAGGATTTCTGAGAATGAAAGAGCTGCAGAATTACTAAAAAAAGAGTAAGAATGCTATTCCCTATTAATTCCAACAGAGACAATACAGAATCCATTTCTTCCCTTTGGAGGATGTGTTTCAGAGCAATGAGTAATGAATAATTCATGCAGAGGATCTGCCATCAGATACAGTATCGCAGTACTGCCTGTGAGTGTAAATGCCCTGAGAAACTCGCAAGAGAGTTTATTTTTGCAATTAGCAGGATGCCACTCTAGAAGAGACCTCTGGAGAGGAGACAAGGATATCATCCTCCTTGCTTCCAAGTTATTCCTGAGGATTAGAACTCTATTTAATCTCCCATGCGAGACAGGTAGCACTCCCGAAAAGATTTAACTGACCTTTCATCTAACCTATGTCCCTTTTGCCTCTGCAATGATGCAGCAAATAACCAAGTCATGTGTGCCTGCAACCCAACCCTGTAAAAATTATGCCATGAGGTGAAAGTGGTGGATGACACTTTGGATTTGTGAATTTTTATTTACCGCTTCTTTTTAAAAGCTATTCTGAACTTCACCATCTGCAAAATACCACATACTTAGCTGACTGAAGTTAGACACAGTGAGCCAGTTCTTGTTGTGCTTCTCTTGCTCATCCCAGACATTGATCTCTGCAGGCTCTGAGCTCACTTGGGTGTTCTGGGGGCAATCATCCACTCTAATCACCTGGCAAGACACAGACAAAACAACACTCTATTTATAGCATGACTAGCACCTCTGCAGTTCCTCTGACAGCCTGTGACCGGTCTTTTAAAGGATCACTGAAATGCCAATGACTGACAGTGCTCCCAACTGAGAAACAGATTTTCCCATTTTTGTTACAAGTTGCAGAGGACACATTGCTTTTGTCTGGTAAATACTACTGATGAAAGATATAGCACTACAGCTTTTTAAAACAAAGTTTAAAACAAAGAAAACCTTCAGAGGTATTAGGTCTCAAAATTCAAGTCTGAGATCTGTTACTGACCTAAGCATCTTATCTAAACAAATCAGTCTGCAGTTTTCATCTCATTAAACAGGGATAACTCTCTCTAGCTGATAAAGATCCTAGGAATCTCTTTATAACTTTATAAATAGATTTTTATATATGCACACACACATACAGTTATGAAAGTTGCCCTATACATGTGACACAATCAATATGCTGTCTGCAATGTGCTAAATGTTTGATGGATTCAGAGAAAACACTGCAGGACTCTTGTAGGCAGGAGACAACATGACACGGCCTGGCTTGCTTGATTACAGTTGCACACACCCTGGATATGGCTCACCACTCCTTGAGTCTATTCTAGATCCTATGAAGCCTCCCCAAGTCCTCCCATCAGCTGAAGTGCAAGGACTGATTCTTCTCTGTATAAAACCAGTAATACCTCTGGTATACTCTCTAGCAAAGTCCCAGACTTCAACATATTCAAAATTGAAATCCCACACATTCAAACAAAGGGGAAATTAAACCAAAGCCAGATACACAATTTGTATGCAGTATCTTAAATTTATACATTTTCCACTAAGCCACACTGCAGAACTCCTCTTAACAAATGAAAAAGACAGCTGTGGGATATGTGATTCTCTTGCAGCTGCACATACCGGCACCTGAAGGGGTTTTTGATTCTTCTTTCCTCTCCCAGACTTTCTGTCTCTGTTTTGTTGTTTTGCTTTTGTTGCCTCACTGTGGTGTAGCTCACTGGTTTGTAAAGACTCTGTGGGAACGAGTCAAGAACCAACATTAAGCTACAGAGCTTTTGTTTACTAAGAGAAGATCTGATAAGACTGAGAGCTGGCAGATCTCCCAAACAAGTTGAGAAAGACTTGTGACACCCAAAGCTAATACTAATGCAGTTCAGTGCAAAGACGTGTACCATCACAAGATAAAAAACGACAAATGTTGGCCATCATCTCATACTATTCATACATAGAACTGGAATCTGCTATATTTTAGGTGTTGGTATGCAAGCTTGGTGGTAGACAGGGAGGGTTTTAAACTGATCACAAAAATGCATAACTCTTCCTTCTCCATGCATCCATCTGACCAGCAATATTTCTAATGTGTCTCTTAAGGACTGTGTAATTTCTTTTGTCTCTGGCAACTTCTGCATTGCATCCTCAGGGCAGGAGACTTCCCTGGAGGGAGCAGAGTCTCTCTATCACCCCAGCTGTATACTCACAGCCATAAGGACCCTGTGAGATGGGGAGACACATGGTGGCTGACACACAGGTGCGACAGAGCTTGGATACTAGGCACATTTCAGAAATTCCCTACAGCAGTCAGACACAGCACAAAGAAAGTGAAGGGGAAGCTCTAGACTCCCTGCTACTACCCTCAACTGCAGCTAATACCTGCTGGGTGCAAATAAAACATTTTTATTATGTCTTGGGCTCCCCAGTAGAAGATCCTGTACAGGTGTGGTGTTTTATAATTACCACCTATAGTTTTGCAGGTCATCCCTGTTTTCTCTTTCTTAGGGGACTGTAAGCTGTTGCTCCTGCAGCAACTCTTGTCCCTCCAGAGTGGGCTGATCCTGAAGGAGGTGCTGCGTTTCAGCTTGTTCTGAGAGCTGATGCTGCTATGACGTGGCCTGTCTGAGTTGTAGGAGAAGGAGTTTGATTCTCTTATCTGGACATGCTTGGGAGGACTACCCATGCAATTGCAGTCACTGTTATAGGTGGAATGTATGCACAGGGCCACCTTAGTTTCTGAGCTGAAAACTCCTTTTTCATCACCTTCAGAGAATCCCCAGTTCACATAACCACCTTCAGTTTCCTCCCTGTCATTGTAGGAGGGTGCTGCACTCTTTTCAATATCCAGCGATGGCTGGAGACCAAGAGGATGAGCAGCATCTACGGCATTAGTCTTTTCTGATGGCAAATGAATAGCAAAGTCTCTCTGGCTCCATTGGTAATCCTTTGGCTCTTTTCCAGTGAGGCTGACACTTGGCAAGTTTTGCTGCACCACACTTTGCAGTTCATCTCTGAAGGCATTGCCCCTGTACTTGGCAGGGCTGCTCAAAAAGGACAAATTTAAGGTGACATCCTCAGAGAAAAACCCTCCCTGATGGTCAGGGGGCACCAGCAAAAATTGTCCATATCTAGGGGTGGACTTGGTCTCAGAGGATACTCCTGAAGTGAGTGTGTCACTTTCTGTTTCTATCTTTCGGGAGCTGTCTGCCACCACCTTGTTATTCTCGGTCCTCAGTACATGGTCTTTGCACTCTGATGGCCACTGACTCCTTACCAAGCTCCGTAAGAGGGAGGGTGGCATGCTGTAGTAGTGGTATTTCTTGTCATACAAACACTCCAGGCTGCTCAAGGTCTTGGAATACAGCACGTTGCTCCAGCTATGGGGCAGCTTCCTACAGGTTCGATGTCTTGTATCAGCCAGTAAGGCTTCTTCCACCTGCAAGGTGTCTACTGCTGATAGGACTTTCAAGATGTCCACTGTCAAGGCAGACAAATCTTGCAAATGTCCTAGCTGGCTGTCCAGGGAGAGTAAAGACTCCTTGATATAACATACCTTCTCATGCACGTCTTTAAGCTGCAGAAACATCTCCTCCACTCTAGAGAGAAAAAGAAAACACAATTAAAATACTAAAACACATACTTACTTCTGTTTGCCAAATGATGAAGGAAGCCATTAACACATCTCAAAAAGTCAGTGTTTCAAACAGCCCTTTATTATTATTTTTTAACGCTGACTTCCATTCCCATGAATATCTATATTTGACAAAACCCATCCAGACCTACAACATGTCATTCAGATTACTGGACCAACAACCAGTGACTTTTAAGAAAACAGACTTTTGCTCAAGGAGTATCTATTTTTAAAACTTCTGTTTTCCTACTAACGTCCATTCCTTGCCATGGAACTACTAAACCATGGACAGCAGGACACAGCTTTGGAAATGCTGCCTTTGCTATTGCTGTAAATGTAAAATGCTGTGAAGTATACTTCTTGTCCGTCAGTCATCCTGCATTTCTACATTTCTTGTGCAAGTATGAAAAGGACAAGGCTCACACAAACCTACAGATAGTCTTGCATTTCTGAAATACTGGAGACTGTTGGGAAAAAGGTCTTCCCAAGAACCTATTTGGCCTCTGGGAACAGATTCAGTATGTCTGATGCCATCAGTTATCTTCAGGTGAAAAAAAAAGCAAAGCCTCTTTTTATGGTCTTCAAAGCTCCAGTGAACAGTGCAAAAACTTCTTGGCCTGGAATGATACAATCTTAACCAATTATCTTCACGTTTCCTGAAGATAGTCTTTCTGGTGCTCTCTCACCAAGACAATGATAAACCAGCTGCAGGCAATATGCAAGAGTTGCTCCTTTCCTTTATCACTGGGTAACTAAAATATGTAATATTTAACCAATAGCTGAATAAAATCAAAGACCAGGGTTCCAAAATTTTATATTCATCTAAACTAATTTCTTGTGTTAATGTTATGCAACACTGTGAAGTGTGTTCTACCTTTGCACTCCAAAAAAAATTCCTCTCCAGATCTATATCTATCCATTAAATGAAATCTTCTTGCTGTAATCGATTCTGCAGCTTTTGAACAGTTACTTTTTTTTCTCTTTTACAGGGGACATTCATTTTGCTTGTATGTTTTGTTTTAGTATGCAGAAAACATATTATGAACAGGCAAAGATCAAGAGGCTATCTTTCTCTAAGCAAAACAAATTTATTAGATGCGATCAGCATTGGCATTCAGTAAGACTTTTTATAGGGCTTACTTTTTTTAACTCATTAAACATAATGGCAGCTTTGCCACTGCTTTCAATAGAAAACTAAATTAGGCCAATACTGAGAGTTTTGAAACCCCTCTGACAGTTGTGTATTGACATTTTGCAAGCCAAGACACTACACTGCAGAAAATGTCACCTTGGTTATACGGTTATGTCTATGAACAGAAGTTTTTCTCAATCACAAGCAATACTTTTAGTGTTCCTGCACCACTAAGCCTTTAAATGTATTGTATGCCATCCTCTGGCATGTTTTCATGGTACTATCTGGTCTGTAAAACTGAAATTGAGCAATACCTTACTGTACCCCTTTAACCACCTGCACACTGCACGCATCTGGCGATGCAAAACTCACAGCAAGGTTTTCCCAGCCAAGCCTGACATACGGTTCAAAGAAATACATTACACTCTGTCCTGTTTTGGCTAGAATAGAGTTAACTTTCTTCATAGTAGCTAGTACAGGGCTATGTTCTGGATTTGTGCTGAGAAGAAGGCTGACATCATACTGAAGTTTAGTCAAGGACTTTTCAACTTACCATGCTTTGCTTATGTAAAGGTGCAGGACAAGCAAGGAGGGAACATAGTCCACAACTACTGGCTTAGGATTCTACCTTAGGTTTAGGATTGAAGCCCCAGTTGACCAACAGTATATTCTATATCATACACATCATTCTTTGTATATAGGTGAGGGTCTATCTAGAAGCTGGGTCTCTTTCTCGGACTCTTGGGCTCTTCTCTCTTTTCTGGGATTGTGGCTTTGGGATTTTCTCTGTTCTGGAATCATTAGCCAGGAATGGGCTGAGCCTTGGCCAGTGGGTGGTAAGCAGCTGCACTGTGTATCACTCATTTGTATATTTGTATATTACTATTATTATCATTATTATTTTCAATTCTGTTGTATTTTAGTTATTAAATTGTTCCTATCTCAACCCATGAGTCTCCTTTCCCTTTACCCCTTTAATTCTCTCCCCCATTCCCTGGGAAGTGGGGGGTGGTGAGAGAGCGGCTGCATAGTATTTAATTGCTGCTAGCTGGGTCAATCCACAACACAGTTCCATCAAATTAGCAAGGCCTATGCATGTTATTGCTCCTCATGTTCATAGTGGCCATATCTGCAGCAAAACATACCTTTTTGTTGTCAGACAGATCCTTTCACTGTCACTGGAACTCAGGCTTTCATTCTTTTCATGAAAATATTTTTCCACACACTGTTCCTCGAAGTCATGGAGTTTCTTTAACTCCTCATCACTCAGGTACAGCTCTGAACAAAGGAGGTGGGAGTCAGTATGAGGCATGCTGACAAATGCAACTGTTCATAAGCATCCATGGGGAAAAAAAGAAAACTGTCAGAACTGGTTTCTTCCCCCTTCCTTGACAAGAATGAATCTAACTCCATGAATTCAGGTTTATGTAGGAAGACTCAACACGGAAAATACATGTAAACACGTTTTTTATCTTTTCTCAGACAGGGAGCAAAACCACACTGACAAAAATTCCAGTACACTTCTTTTTAAAGCCTCAAAAGCACATACCAAAGTGGCTGCTCACAAAGATGTATTTTCTGCCAAACTTTTTCCTGTCTTATTATACATGTGTGACTCACAACATTTAGGTACATATATGTAAGACTTACAAAGATTTCACTATAATTTGCTCCACGCATTAATTTAGGATCAGTCGCCTATAACAATCACAGTCCTTTCAGATACTGAGAGATACAAACCTTTTTTTCACCTAATTGCTTCACGTGTTCCTATGTACAAAACATTAAGCAAGATTACTGGGTGAAAAAGAACACATTCAAAAGTTTAATACTCCACAGCTTGGGCTGCTCATGATGCTATTCTTCTAGCACACCAAGATTTCTGAGACAACAGATCAATTGTAATTCAATACAAAGAAATGCATATGGTGGAAAGCTGCCTCTCTGATCCAAACTCTACATCTTTCAAGCTACCTTTTTCTTTCCACCTATCAGAGGCCTCACCATACTTGCTAGGGGGGTATCTGTGCCAAGTGACAGGGCAGTGTTTGCTACAAGTGTGTAGTACTTGTCTGTGACACACAGCTCAGCAGGGCAGACCACACCCTGTTCTGGGGCCCTCCCCTCACTCCGGCGGAGAGCTGATCACCTCCTAGGCTAATTTCTCTCCTAACCCATTTGTGTTCTTGGCTCCAAGACTTTATTCTCTGTACCTTCATTGATTTCAATCTCTGTCATTTCATTGATTTTCCACAGGGTGGCACTGGATCCCCATCGCTAAAACCACTTAATTATAACACACCAAAATTTAACTAGAAGAAACTTACCAAGCACTGCATAGGCATATGGAAAAGGAACACAAAGGTACATAAACAGGAGAAAAGTCTCCTCAGAGAAGTGTAGGCAAAGCATGAGCCCTCTTTTATCCAAGGACTTTTAGATGTGCTAAGCAGTGTTCCAGTCTTCCTTGTGCCTAATGCATCTTAAGACACCCTTTATGCTATATTAGTGACTTGTACTACGCATGCATATAAAATAAGCAGTGGTACTTCAAAGGCAGGCTGACTTATCCAGTCGTAATGGAGGAGCTGAGCCTGGGAGCAGCAGGAAAGAGGCTCAGCATTGATTAGTTAAGCCCATTTTTGAACTCTGTAACCACCTGTAAGTGTGCCAGATATCTTCAGGGCTTCATGTTCAGCAGAGAAAATCCTAAGTGAAGCATAACCTGGCAGGGTCTGCTCACCAACGTTATTAGATGTTAAGGATGTACATTGCATCAGAAAGGATGAGCCTTAAAATACTATGTGCCAATGTTCCCCCATGTTTTTTTTTTAGATCAGGTAACAGATACCAGCCTCTCCTCCTTCCCATTCCCCTGCCTCACCCTACCCACCACTGAGCCCCTCTATTGAGTACTCATTCCCATCCCAACACTTTGTGGTCCCCTCCCCACAGCAGCTAGGGCTGCTCCTGGCAGAGCTGCAGAAGCTGCCGACAGTGGGACAGGGAATTGGCACCACCTTAAAGAGTCATTAGGAAGGACCCTGGGATGGGGAAGTCCAGGTTGGGAAGGGTGAAGGAGTTAAGGAGTTAAGGTGCCACAATGAGCCAGTACACAAAGGGTAGGATGCAGTGAGGAGGTGGAAAGTTCCTGTGTTCTCTCTCTGTATCTGCCGTCACTGGATCTCCTCTGTCCTTGGGCTCTGAGGCTACTTTCTCTGGGCAATTAAAAAGGAATTGTTGGTCTTTTCAAGACAAACATACAGAAATGTATACCTCCAATATTGTTGACTTTCTTTCAAAATTTTTTTTACATTCCTACAAAATAAGTTGCTGTCACTTTACTTCAGCTCAGGGTTGTGATGCATCTCAACTGATGCACAGTATCTAGAACAGCAAAAGCCAAATACAAATCAAAGCGTTCCCCTAGTCTCTTTTTCCTACAAGAGTTCTCAGATATGCAGGTTAAACTCAGTTTTTCAAATGAAAACAGCCTCCTACCCACAGAATTTTTTTTTTTTTTTTTGAGGAACTGAGCTCCAAAGTGATGGAAGGGTGGCAAAACATTCCTCATCAGCTGTTTCTTTTGCTCCCCAACTTAGCTCTGCTTACTTAGTCCAACATCTCCTTCCTCTTGATCCAGTTCATTTTGGGGCCGATGATGGAAGATGCGGTTTATCAGAAACCCAATGTGGCTTAGGAGGATGAAAGGTGGAGGCAGCCATGGCTTCTCATGGTAGGTCATAATGTAGCGGTACCGGTTGTACTTCCAGAGCTTGTTTGATATGGATTTCAAATCATAATAGACATTACTGAGAAGAGACAGAGAGAGAGGGCGAATGAGGGTAAAACACTCCTGTGAGGAATATTCCCAATACAGCACAGGACGCTTGTTTACAGATCTAACCTGACACTGAAGAAAAGTCCCAACCCTGCAGTGGAGTAGATCAGCATAGCAACTTTCATTTAACAAAGCAGCAGCATGTGCCTGCAGCTACTGCACTGAAAATGAGATCTTCAAAGCTGCCTAATGGATTTGGAGATCCAATTCCCATTCATATTAATGGGAACTGGGCAAAAAAAAATCCTGAAGTGGCTTTGAAATCTCAGACAGGTTATTTAAACTTTAATACATAGCCTAACTGAGAATTCAGCATTTTCTGACTCTTTGGACTGGATTAAATGTAGGAGTCAGGCTAAGGGAACAGTGTTAACAAAATGGTTCTGCTGCTTCTCACTGCATGCCCCCTAACCAATATACTTGCTGCAAGAGGCAGCTACACAAGCGATTCCACTGCAGGGCACTTTTTGGAACCTTTACATTACTAAATATGACTGTTGCTACAGTGAATAATTTCCTGAATCTACTAACATACACCCAAGTACAGGAAAGCAACTTTGTGGTTTCTGGCACCGTAATTTCAGTTGCACCATCATACTCCACACACAATCACAAAAACATCAGCTTTGCTTATGGGAGCATAATTAAATATATTCCTCATAAATATATTCCATTTTTGGTCCCACTTCTGGAACAATCAAATCACTAGGCAGAAGATTTAACATACCATTGTTGCTGAAGGTTTAAATCTAGAAATAATTCAAATTACAGTTTCACAGCTGTGTATTAAAAAAAAAAACAAAAAAAACAAAAAAAAAACAAAAAAAACCCCAAAACCCTCATGCCTTGCTACAATTTCAGGAAAGGGAGTTCTAAATGCAAGTGGGAACAAAATGAGATTTGATCATTCTGTTTTCTTGAATATTAATCACTACATTTCTTCATTTGAAGTTGTTTTAACCTACAACTGACTTTTTCTTCCCCAGAAATACTAGAACTCCAGGCAAAAATAATTAACTACTTAGGTTAGATGGTTCTTTACTGATATTTTACAGAACTTGATCCACTACAAGGGTTTCCCCGTTAAAACTTGAAAGGTTAGAATTACTGTAAAGACACTGATTAATTGCTGGAGAATCACTAGGAATTACTAGAGAATTACAGTAAAGATTCTTCCTACTCTGGCAGCAAACATTAAAAAGCAGGTAGGTAAAAACTCTACAGTTAGATTTCAGTCTAGAACACATCAAATTGCACCAAACAACAGGAAGTTTCAAATTATTTCCTAAAGGAAGAACATTTTCCTACAAAGTCAATACCCTCGTCCCTTGAATACCTTCTCTAGTTTTTTGACAACTTAAATCTTGGGCTACCCTATGACAAACATTATACAGGCTCTCAGTACAACAAATACAACTTTTATGAACAAAAGACAAATTCCTTCAGAGCTTAATTAGTGTTGCCTGCTTGCCAACTAGTTTAGGTGTTTGCTCACCAACCCCTTCTTCCCACCCTCTTGCTTCCGCCATTCCTTTTTTATCACTGGATCCTCATGGAAGATGGGGTAACAACCACCAGCAACACGCCCCTGATAGGGAATTTTTGGTGAAAGGCTTTTGCAGTTTTGGCAGAACACTATTATTTGCTTTTTATTTTGCAGCAATATACCATGGTACCTACTTAAAGAAAGCAATAAGCAAGTTGACCATGATGATGTACTGCACAAAGAGGTAGACAGCTTGGAGGAATGGTGTGAGGAAGGAGCCAGGAGGACAGTCTTCATTGGTTTCACAGACTGAAAGCAAAGGACATACACAGGATGGTTAGCATGGGAAACAGAGCAGAGCACAGCAACAGCATGTGTTCCTCATTTGCCCGAGCAAGAAACAATAGTCCTTGTTACTTTCACTGAGATACATTACTAAATTTCCAACAAAAAATTCTACCTCCACGTAAAGGAGATCTGAGACCTCTTCACTGCCCCACAGTTTCCATTGCCATTCAGAAGCTGTAGACACGATTCCATACATATCAGTTCTTATGACAGTTCCCCCAACGTTTTGTTAAGGGGAAAAATGATGCAGCTGAAATGTATTTGGGAAATGGCACACCCTCAAGTAAATGGAAATCTCAATCTTTGATTTTTAAAGCAAGTAGCAAAGCTTTCACTGACTCCACTGTGGAAAGGATATGATGCAAAGGCTGCTTTGTCACTACCAGACTGTTACTCCTTTTCAGCATCCCTAAGATCACACTAACTCATATGCAGAAGGATATATGGCTACGAATATTTGTGAGATGAAGCAACAAATTGTAGAAATGAAGGGATCCCTCTCAATGTTTTTAAATTGTCAAAGTAAATACTTTTTAGTTTTTATAATTTTTAACCAAATTTTACACTTTTGAGGAAATTTTAAAACATATTTATAAGGCAGCAACCCTAAATTCAGCACATATTCTGCAGCATAGTCATTAGAGAAACCATAGCTTTATTTGGGAAGTGTCAAATTTCTAAAGGTTTATCATTAATAAGTGGTTAAACTGTGAAACTTAACAGTGTCCTTTCATTGCAGTAATTCTGAACTACACAACCAAAATACATAGCCATCAAGTGATTATTTCAGCAACAAGAACGGATGCAGCATCTGAAATTATTTTAATCAATCAGGTCTATGCTGAACTATGTATCTTAAATATCTGTATCTATTTGCATATCTACTCTCCTATTTCAGGGACTGTTTTACTTGTACCCATCACCTAGCAGCATGAGAGTGCCTTCCATCTGTAATGCTGAAATACCTCCTTCAGTGCCTGTTTTTTCTCTCTTACTGAGACAAGGTCAAAGCCACAATCAAGACTTCATTTGACATTTTTCCTACTTACATTGATTGGTTCTATGTTCTCCTATGTTATCTGTTTTACAATGATGCCAGGTAACTCTTACTATGGTGAAAAAATATTTGTTCTGTCTTATTTTACCTTTTTTGTTTCCCTTTATTCTTTCTTCCTTTAAGGCAACTTTGTAGTTTTTTCTCCAAGAGATCAGCAGCTTTGGATTTGTCTAATTGGAAATTCATTTAACGGCCAGATCCCCTGACCATGAACTAGCCTAGTATTACTTCCTATGTGCTTTGCTTTGAGCTTTGCAATATACTTCATTTGAAAAAGCTAAATTTGAAGGTTTTTAAAGCTTAATCTTTATTTTTAACAAAGAAACTAATATTCTCACCTTTATTCATGCAGTATTACTCATTAAGGACGTACACATACCAGAATCAAAATTGTTTGACAAAGAATAGACTCAATATGTAGTCAAAACTCTACTAGCCCAAAGTGGACATGTTTCTGCACATATTAAATTTAAGCTGTTGAGCTGCACTGTGAAAATTACCTACCATCTATTTCTCCAGCATAGACCTCACCGAACATCATCCAGTAGGGCTGAAATACAATATCTCGCGCCAGAGTCCAAGAAGGAGGCTCCTCTGGTGAAAGAATTGCCTTTCGTGACACTCCAAAACTCAACAGGACTATGGCCATCATGACCACAATATAGAACATGTTTGCTGTCTGGAAGACATGTTTGCACAAAAGAATTATCTGTGTTAATTATATGTAAAGGAGACATACATTTTAGGGATGGGTATCAATCACCACTTTTACAAATCAGAATACAAAAACAGGGCTAATAATCTAATATGTTGGAGGAAATAAAAATATTTTATTTCTATGACCTGAACTACCCAAGTATTTTATATAGGTTAAACTCATCTTGGACTAAAAAGGCCACAAATCCTTCTTACCTCTCAAGCCCTTATTGAGACCTTAAGCAAGATTTGGAAAATGCAGAGACCTTATTGATAGTGCCTTTCCTCAGTGGTATTTCTTCCATATTGAGAGCAAGGAATAGCAATGAAACTGATTTTGCCTTCTAACACTGAATTGGAATTACTATGCAAGACAGAATATAAAAGTATTAATAAGATAGTTCCCAATAACTGAGAGAAATTACAGAGGGAATCTGCAGATGTCCCTCAAGACTAGGCAGCAGTTCGGCAGCAGTTTTAATACCAAAAGAGAAAAGAATTAACTTTGATCTCAGAGAAATTTTGCCTGCTAAAATGGGATATAATTATTTGAATCCAAATGTAAAATAATAATGAGACAGTTTCCAAGAGCTGGGGGAATTATCTATAGTACTGAGCCTGTCTGCAAGAGACAGTGATTTTTCTTTCTCCTATTATCAAGCTGGATCAGAAACTCAACTCAAATGCAAACCTCTAAGAAATGAAGCAAAAATGGCTTTTGTGAATAAATTCAAATAATTAATAAATTAGAGAGAACTGAAATCTGAATATGGTTAACTCACAAACAGAAAAAGACATGGTATTTTCAGGTAATACATCCACTATGGATTATTAGGTGACCTCTCCTTTGACCATCATTCTTTTCTGTCACTTCTGACCTTTACACACCCCTCAATAAATGTCTTAACTAAAGAAATATTAATCCAAAGCATAATACCTACCATTTTCCCAATCATTGTCAGGTATGGGCCAGCATGCTGATTCACAGCAAAAAGATCAAGGAGCCGAGTATACCAAAATATTATATCCAAGCAGTAAAGAAGCCTCCCTGCAGTTTGAACAGGGGGGTCAGACCAGCGCAAGCCAAAACCAATCATAAACAGGATGATAGCTATAGAATCAGTAAAATTCCAGTATTCGTAAATCCACACCTTCACTTTTTGGCAGAATTTTCCAGGTTCTGAGATAAATACCTGAGTAGAATGTGGAAAAAAAAAAAAACAAACCAATGAAAATCCATTAAAAACACAGATACCTTCTTTAACCTTTTCTGTCTGAACTGTTTCACGATATTTAGGAATCTATCCCTTTTTTCCTTTTTTTTTTTTTTTTTTGGCAGGCCTATATACTGCATATTGCCATTCACTGTTAATTGATGTTTGTACTTAATCTATAGGGTTGTATTGCTCAAGTATGCCACACCAAATAGGATAGCTCTTCCTAAAGAAAAATGGATTCTAAGCCTGAATCCATTCCCTGAAGAGCATGTTCCTCAACAGAAAAGAGGAACCAGTATCGGACTGTTACGCACATGTACCATTATAAATTAATGAGTATTTTCTAGAAGAATGGGCACGACCTGCAATAGCCCTTTCAAAAGCCCCTAAGTAATGGAAAACACCAGCCTAACCTTGCTGATGGGAAAATAACTGATGCCTTTTATTTCATACTGAAAATATAAAGAAAGATCCTTGTATTCCACCAAGGACACGCTTAAAAAGGAGTGCTGGCAACTAGCAAGGTAAAGAATAAAATGTTCACTCCTTGAACTGTGAGGTGCCCCAAAGGGATTTTAAGCTTCACTGAGCAAACATGTGAAGTTGGAATCTTTGGGCACCTGTAAATAAAACCTCTGCACATTGCTCAAGTGAGGCCAATTATGCACTGCTATGTAAGATCACACTGATAAGTACCAAGCAAAGGAGAGATTTTAAAGTGTTATTCCCTGATCCTGCAAGAATTTACGCATATGAACACATTAATGTAAACAAGTGATCCTACTCAGTTCAGCTGTTTAATTCACATGAGGAACGAGTTGCAGGATCAGGGCCTAAGGCTTTAACAATTAGTTGATACAACCTAGATAAATAGAGGTTTCCAGTTATATATAACATGGCCCTCAGCAGTTAATTAGCTGCATGTGGAAGACACAGTGTCCTACAAAGTCTTTGCCAGCAGACCAGAACTAGCAGATGGACAAAGAAAATCAAGCAGCAGACATGAATTTCAAAGTCTCCAATGAATGTTAATGCCAGAAAGAAGAGCTGTTTCCACTGTCCCACCATCAACACAATGCAACAGCAGAAGTGATTTCCAAAGTGCTTGCTATTTCACATTTAAGTTATTCTCAATTAGACAATCCTTGTATAGATTTTTTCAATTTTATCTCATGCAGCCACAGAATGTGTATGTTTATCCAAGCTTCAATATATTCCCAGTATTTTTGCTGCCCCTCTAGGAGGATTTCTAAATCCTTCACCTCTCTGGTGCTGATGTTGCACCCTTCTGAGTGATCTGTTGTAATAGGATCCTTCACTCAGAACTGTGACTACTTTTTTGCAGTTTTACTTCTCTAAAAGTACAGCATTTCAAAACTTTTATAAAAGACAATTCACACTGCTATTGTTTAGTATATGTTGATTCTACAGTGAAGACATGTCTGATAAGATAAAATAATTTGGGAAATACATAGCTGCCCTTGTCCCCAGGCTCAGGTTTGGAGTGCAAGTTGTGTTCAGAAACTTGGGTCTAATCAACTCCAAGTAATTGCCATTAATTTTGATTGGAACATCATTTTTCCATGCTCAGTGAATCCAGAAGTAAAAGTTGATGATGTTTTTTTTCCAGTTTAATTTACAGAGGGTCAGTTAGACTTGATGAAGAGCCATAGATTATTCTACACATAACATCTATTAATTGATGACAATGTCCACACTCAAAGAAAATCTAAAGACAGTTCCACATTTCTTATAAGAAATCTAATGGTCCTCTCAATAAAATTAAGAAACGTGCCTACATTGAGGCTCCAAATCTCAATTCAGCACAATCACTCTCAAGCAACCTGCATATTACCACTGGCTTTATACAGAAAAATAGAGATTTAAGGACAAACTTCAAGATGCAGTTTTCAAAGCCCAAGTACTGATGTTCAAATAAAAGACTTTTCAGTAAAAATAGTCCTGCATAATTCTTCCCTCTGTTAAATTCTCTACAAGAAGAATGCAGGATTTGGTATTCTTCTGGTATTCTAGATTTGTGGTATTCTCTGGTTTATAATACATCCTCTACAGATGAGAAGTGTGGATGGAAAACCTTACCTCCCTGACTTTTTCAATAGCAGTGCTGAAAATATAAATGATAACAAGCCACTCTTGCACACTTGGTCTTGGTTCCATCTTCACCAACACGGTGTAAGTGAAGAGCATGAGAAACACCATGTACGCCATCTACAAAACACAGGGTATATAATCCATATGCACAAAAATCTCCAACAAATTTCTGCAAACATATTAACAGGTGATTAGCCTGACTATATGTATTCTGACCACTAGGGCACTGTGAGGTTTTTCTTGAGGTCCTCCAGTTCTCCAAAGTACTTTTATGGGAATATCCTTAAGTATCATTTGGAAACTACTGCAGCATATGTTCACCTGGGCCCCAAACCTGTATATGAAACAGACTATTCTATCTGCACACCGTTACTGGCAGTGTTATATGCTTTTATCCTAACCTTCTCTAGGAGCAAGTAACCATTCTCAATGCTACACGAATCACTGCAGGTTAATCAATGCCTTCCAAACACAGGAAGAATAATATCAGGTGGAAAGCACACATTTTAAAGGTATCAGAACACAGTGTAAATGTATCTGAGACGATAGACTAACAACCTGTCAAGCAGTTAACACACCCTGTTAAATTAAAAACCGTTTATGCACATGGTGGTCTGACCCAACAGGCAGTCTGATCTTAAACATCCTAAGCCCTACATACTGACACAGGGTTAGTTATTAAAATTGATTTAACAAATGCATATTTCTCTATAGTAAATGATCTCCTACTAATATTCACCCCTTCAGAAACAGTTCCTAAAGAAAGGGACACAAATAACTGTAAGGTATTTAAGGTATTTGAGGCCAGCTTCAAAGCTCTCTCTACATGTACAATTAACTACTGCAAAAAGCTGTGCTCCAGTTTTTCTTTAGTTCCTTATAATTGGGTTTTTTTTTGCTTTTTTTTTTAATGCAGCTACATTATTTTAGCAGAAAACCTTTTCACTTCATTGTGATAGAAATATTAAAATATCTTCCTATCCATCCCCACCACTAACTGTCTGTAAATACATGCTAGACAAAGTAAAAGCAACAGCAAGTGGTATTTGAAGGATCAAAGGAGGGTTTTGGCAGTTCGAGTTCTAGTGTGATGACCAACCGTGTGAAACCAGAACTTGACAATTGGTGCATTGTAGAACTCATAGATTTTTCTAGTGCCAGGCAGGTTTCCTTGTCCACCATCTACTTGGCTTTCATCAGACTTCTGAGCAATCTTCTCCACATCATAATCCTTCTTAAAAAAGGAAACAGAATTTTAAAAGTAAGAAACCAGGGTCTATGATTGCAAAGGTTGTGTCATATTAGAGGGAAGACAGGCACAGATGTTTAAGCTTTGTTCTGAATATACAAACCACTACTATAGCTTGATTTTGTCTGGTTACAACCATCTCATTTGCAATAATTAACATGCACACACTTCCACTATAAATACTCATTTAGAGTTTGCTCTTATGACTACAGGCAGTGGCCTGGCCATGAGCAGACCTGAATCCACTCCTGTTTCTGCCACACATCTCTTTAAGTCTTCAAGCAAAGTCACTTAATCACTCTGGGTTTCTCTTTCCCCATTTGTGAAATGCAGATAAATAATTTCCAATATGACATAACTGTATTAGCTAAAACTCCAGCGACAACTGTGGTACATTCTGAAATAAGTGCATGAGCATTACATTTCTGCTCATGTACACACTTGCACAGAAAATGTCAAGACAGTGACATTCTAAATACGGAATCTAATTGCTATTTTTGATGTATTTTATGCCTGATTAGAAGATGAGGATGAAATAAGTACTCTCCTACAAAGATCTGCCTAAAAAATGCAGGTAACCTCTTTATTGTCTTCAGTAAATTAACAACAAAAAACAAAGCCAAAACAAAACAAAAGAGAAAACACACTTGATTCTGAATCCAGAGTTTGACACTTGTCCGAGTACCCCTCTGAAAGTACAAATATCTGATTTCTGCTGAAGCCTAAGAAGAGCTGCAGACTCTCATCAGTGGGCAAGTGTCAAAACCAGAAGTTGATGAAAGGAGTTTTCAGAGATAATGGAGAGAAGCCTAGAGGAACTATAAATAGCTAATAGCTGGGCAAGGCTGAAGGAACAAAACTACCTTGCTCAGTTTTGTTTCAATGCTGGTCATTTGTTTTGGCTAATATAAATGCTAAAACTTGCTGCTACTAGACATCTGCATTATAGCAGGTTTTATGTGATGTATTTACCCCTATTACACAATGTTTCCTCGGATTATCAGGGGAAAACTGATTTTTTTAATCACATTAGACTGAGAAAAGTGTTAAACCAGAGAATTTGATACACAGAATCATCCCAATGTATTAACACCAGATCCTCCAAGGTGAAAGAGAGAATTTGTCCCACGAAAGAGTGCAATTTCCAGTTGCAGCAGGTTGCTGGAATTTATGACTGTGTATGAAAGGTGCTCTACATGCCACATGTACACTGTTGACATTTTCAGCATGTTTTTTCTGTAATATTCCATATCAGAGTAAGAAAAAGCAGTAGCTCAGCCTTTTGTTTTAAACAACATTCAATATTAAATAAAATCAGAAGTTAAGCTTATTGCTAGTGCAGGAAGGAATCAGCCCTGTCTGAAGCAGATCAGAAAAGTGCTTATGCATGTTGCTGTGTTACCTTCTACCAGACTGCAAGCGTGGTCCTGCTGCAAATAATTACAACTGGTCTATCCTCTGCATCATAGCTGTTACCTAACCCCATAAAAAGCATTTTTGAACTGACTATATTAGACAGGCACAGCAGGAGATGATGGCTTCAAGCATTTTTTCTGCATCAGAGGGAGAAAACACAAGCGTGGCATTGACAGGCCTACCATACTGCTGCGAAAGCCCTCAAAGACAATCCACTCTCTTTTCTTTTACACAAATTGCAAGTTAACTGAGAAGGTCCCAAGCAATCTACAATGCTTGTCTGTTGTAAGATAAGCAGAGAAAGAAAGATTGCCTGACAGCACTCACTTGACAATCCTGTTTTCACTGGTTAGCACCTCTCCAACATTTACCCTTTTGGATGGAAATTCTCCATGTCTGCCATCTACTTCAGACCGAAAACTTCTGGAAATTTTCAGTTCAAGGAATGCTTTGTGGAGAATGAGAAGAAGAAAAGGTAGGCAATTCTGCTTAGCAGAAGTCTGGGGGAATTCAGATCTTAAAAGGCAAAGATTTCACCTCTGCTGGAGACACACAGACCTAAGAAGGACATCTGCACAACCACAGGTCCCTGCAGAGTGTTTCAGGATTTAGTTCAGGTGACTAAACCCAAAGTACAGTGCTTCTCCTGTGCTTTAAATGGCACCTCTGCTAGGCTCAAGCAATGCCAAAGGAGAGGTACCCTGTCTTTCAACAAGGAGAGCAGGAGCTAGACCTCTGGAAGGGCTATGATCTAATTCAGGAAACAAAATCTCAAGGAAAGACTAAGAGCAAAGGATGGCCATGGGGAGGGGGAGAGGCTGTGACTGAGATGTGAGGCAGAGGCTGCTGGCCAAGCAAGGTGGGAGGGAGGAGTGAGTTGGAGAGGACGAGACCTGAACTGCCTCAGTTCTGCTGTTTTCCTGCTTTGGAGACCTCGACTGGGCAACCTGAATTGAGTTTTAAGGATGTGTTTTTGTGTATGATATGAAACCATTCTTAGATTATTCGGTATACAAGATTACATACGTATCTGTCTGCAGCTTGAATAGACTTTGTGCCCTCAAATACCTGCGTAATGACAGATAATTATCATCTCATTATAATTCTGTGAGGCTGGCAGTGATTTTCTCATTATGACCCGTACAGAAGTGACACCCACGACAGATGAAGTGATCTGTCCAAGGTCACTTCAGTCTCTATCCAAACCACAGATCAAACCCCTACTTCTTAAGATTAGGGCCCTGACACTTCCAGCTAATCACTTACTCCTCAGGATTTTGCCGTGGTAAACAGACAGGCCCTGCCACACAAATGACTGATCATCACAGACTAACCAGAGACAAGGCATCTTTATTGCTAGTTGGGCTCTGATCCCCATGATACCATGTGAACTGATGGAAGTCTTGAAACTGAGGCACATGAGACATTTCTGCCTTGCTTTTAAACTCCAGCATCAAGATGGTGGGTGGCAGGAGAATACTCATAATGACCTAAAAGAGAGACACAAGAATCAGGAAATTAATTCAGCCATAATAACATAGACCTGAGGTCATAGTCAGCCATGCATGGTGCCAGCACAAACCCAGTGCAATTCCACTGGCCTGGGAGGGAGCCACTGGTGCAAGGAATCTCTGTACCACACTCCTACAGACTCCGAAGAAGTGTGTTGCTCTTGATTGTTCTGTGGCTTTAAAAAGTGTCATGGTATCTGGGGATACTTCAGATACTGCTCCCTGCATCTGGAGGGCATTCCTCCCACCAGCACACTGACAGAGAACCAGCAACGCAGGGCAGCAAGAGCAGGTGGGGAGGGACTGAAGGGTGCTGAGAGAATGGTAACAGCAAAGAAAACCTCACAGACATTCTCCTAATGTCATCCCACAGCTGTTTTTGCAAAGAAGTAAAACAGAAGCAAGTACTGTCCTGCCTCCTTGCCTTTCTTTTCCCTCCCAGATGTTCACATTCCAATCCGTGCTTAAGGACATTTCTCTGAAGCTGCATTAGAAAAGTTCATAAGCACAAAGACAAGTATAAAGCATCTAAACAGCATCTAAATGCTCAGAAAAAGCTAGAGTGATGTTACCTTAAACCAGGAGTTCTTCCGCATCTTCAGACGTCCCATCCACATATCGGTCAGCAGCATCTGTGTACAAGTGTGGGATACAAAAGGCCGCAGCCCCACAGATACTGCTAGTTTCAAGCAAGTTGAGTTGCTCCAGTTTTTCAGTTCATAGGTCAGCAACTTCATGGCCATCTGCTCATTTTGTTTGAATGCTTTCTCCAGCACATCTAAGGCAAGCTGCCCAAATTCCCTGTAGCAGAAAGGAATTAACAGTCAATGTAACAGGGATCAGTCAAAACTCAGAATTACCGCTGCAAAGAGGTTGGGTTGAAAACTCCATTAAATAAAGTTCAGCTAACAATCTCAGTAGGCATGCCTTCTCCCTTTTTTCCATTTTCTAGTGAAAAATAATTTGGGGAGTAAATTTAACTATTAAGTCCCAATCACAAGGTTTAGGGTCATCCTGTTTCCTATTTTTAAATTTGTTTTGTTCCTAATCTCACTGAGCAATCAAAATGGACCCCATGAAGTTCTGTGTATATCCTTCAACAACAGACACATCACCACTGTGAGCAAACACTGGCTCTTAAACATTTCTGTAGGGAAGCCTCCTCAAGGAAATTACATCTTCCGCTAAATTAAGCTTTGGAGCTTCGTGAAAAACAAGACAGCACATCATATTGTACTCTGCATCTGAGGTACGATGTCTACAAAGCATACAATACATCATTAACAAGAAAAACCTACCAGAAAACGCTAACATTAAGCTACAAACTGGTCTACTTCATTTTTTATTCACTCCATTATTTCAGCATACATTTTTCTTTAGGTCTTACACAGAGCAGGATTTAAGTACTGATTTTAGCTTCCTTATTACTACGTTACAGATTTGAACACATAGGCGTGTATATGGCTTTTTAAAAAGGTGAACTGCAGGGGAAGCTGTAAGGGAAATTTCAATCTTCCACTTGACCATTTAACAGAGAGTGAGCCACACATTACTCATATGTATTTTAATTTTCAAATATACAATTAGATAACATGCTAATAGCTTTCTTGTAACTCTCAACCAGACTGCAGACCAATACATAGCTCCACTACATAAAACGAATAGTGGGCAGCTGAAAGTATTTCTTTTATACTCTGTAGTCCATTGTACCACTGGCCTTACAAATTCTTAGTGGATTAGGAAAATATCTAATCATTCTAAGCACTGCAGAACTCTATTAACTGAAGAAAGTGGAGAACTCATACTTTGAATACTTCTTGAGTTCTTCTGAAGTGTCATCCACCATGTTGCTCTGTTTAGCTTCATGTGCCATCGCCCTGTAGAGTTTACAAGCCACAACAGCTTTGACCATGGCTTCCTCTCCATGCTGCCAGAAGAACATTGCCATCTTCTGCCTTTTCATTAATACTGCCCAAACCAGGAGGTCGTTATAGGGGTAGATAAAGCCAGATGACTCATAGTTCTCTGCAAAGTTTATATCATCTTTTGATTTCTTCTTACACTTATGGAAAGCAGTGGACCTTTCCTATAAATTTGTTTTTCAAAAAAAAAAAAAAAAAGAAAATCCCAACGAATGTTTGAGGTTCAGATTAATTCAGATAAAACTGCACGCAAATCTGAACTGCAAGTAGCAAACTGTTCAATCGTTATATACATTTAAATCATAAACCACAGCTAGTATCACATTCAGATTGTCAATGCTAAGAAACTGGTAACATCAGTGAAGGAAAAACACTCCTTGCTTTGTACCCATGCCATTTATAGCCTCCTCTTCCATAGCATTGGGCAGTCTCCAAACCCCATGATACCAAGATCCTACTTTCACTCTTTTCTTTTACTGGTGTCATGGCAGGAGAAAAAGCAACCAGTAGACTGAAACATATGCCATGGACTCATGATACTTAAAGATGATTCTTACTGTCTGCCACACTTGTACACTCACTATACTTTCACATCCGCATATTTCTCTATTAAAGGCAAAGAAAAATTTTCACTGGTATAAGTGAGTTTGTCTCAGTGCTATAATGGGTTCATTTTGTCTCAGATTGATTCCAGTAAAACTATTTAAATTCATTCTACTTTACATTTTGTCTGTCAGATATGTGTACGTGGTGATTTTGCTCTTCTATTCTTTCTCTGAAAGAAAATACTCTGTCATAATTTTCCACATATCAGAACCATATCTCTTCTTAGCAGGCTTACTGTAGTTATTGTAGTAAGCAATAATGAGAAAACATCAAGAAAATCTGAGAATTCCTACTATTGCTTAAAAATACGAAGATTTTTCACCCATGCATGTTGTTCAGAAATTTGGTGGTACTACATTTCAGTGAATGAAACCTCTTAGCAACAAATGGATGGAAGTTAAAAAGTATCACAGAAGTCTGAGCTTGATTTCAACATAACTTTGCAAGGCCCATACTTCACAGACAGTGAGCAGTAAACCATTGTTTCTACTTGAATTTAAGTAGAATTATGATAACTAGCAGCCTGACCAACATATATCTAAAATATCTCAATAAAATTATTATCAGCTTAATATGTCCTAAGCAAAGTCTAGAATAAGCAATTATATTACCTTGTATTTGTAAGGCTGAGCTGTTCTGAAGAACTGAGAATGCAAAGTACTTTCAGCAGATCCTATTCTGCTACCCATCTGATTACTTTGATGAAGGGAATGAGACAGGCTCTGAGAAAAGCTGGAGAGCACTCTCTAGCTCCAAAAGCATACCATAAAAGACAAGGAGAAAAATGCAAATTAGAGGTTTGCCTGTATTTATCTCTGACTGCAATGGTGCCTGTAGAAACTCATGTTATTCAAAAACTAGTGAGTCAGCAATCACTGGAGCTTATAACATCAAGGACAAAATAGCCTGTTTCGCATCTAAATCTTAAAAAAAAATATAGTTTTCTGAATCTCTAAATTCAAAATACTGATTTCCCCAATAGCATCCACCAGTTACAACAACAACAACATGGTTGGAATCACTCAACTTGGAAGCTCTTTCAAGTGCCTACCCTCATTCTTCTACTACTCATGAAAGCAGTACCTGGGGATGAGAGGTTTTTGTTTGTTTTTTAACATATGGAAGTACTTTAATCAAAGTCCAGTTCTACTCCAAAAGCTGGGGAGAATTCTTATACGGTAAATCTGCTCCTTCTGTGATGTTGGGAATGATATCCAGCTAATTTATTAGGAAGTTTATGCTGTTTTCAAGTGACTGGCTTTGGACAGTCAATGTGGAAAATGAAAGTGCTAGTATCATAGAATCATAGAAACATAGAATGGTTTGGGTTGGAAAGGACCCTAGAGACCACCTAGTTCCAAGCCCCCTGCCATGGGCAGGGACACCTTCGACTAGACCAGGTTGCTCAAAGCCTCATCCAGCCTGGCCTCGAACACCTCCAGGGATGGGGCATCCACAATTTTCCTGGGCAAGCTCTCTTCCAATTTAAATCCATTACCCCTCGTCCTGTCACTACATGCCCTTGTAAAAAGTCCCTCCCCAGCTTTCCTGTAGGCCCCCAACAGTGGTTGGTACAAGCCTTATTGATGAACGAGAGACAAAGAACACAACCCAGCTACAGGACACAAAGGTACATTTACTGAACTAACAGTTAATTTAACAACAACTTGTGGTTTAGGGAGACACGGAGTAGTTTGGGGAAAGATTTGTCCATTTTACTTGCAACCTCTCCACAGTTGGCAGAGTTTCATAAAACAGACAAACTTGGCATACATTTAACTGATGCTCTTCAGACAAACCACAATGACAACCTGAGATATTTTTAGGTGTCACATTTTGGCTTTTCTTGGTGACCAGTGCTGGCCACCGCACAAAAGTTACCTTGTGTTTTCTGTAGTGATCATTGTAGAGAATTCGGAAACGCTTCCTTGTGTAGCTGCTCCGATAAGCTCCGCCAAGGAGGTACTCTATCACCAGCCCAATATCAATCAGAGATATCTTGTAATCCAAGGAAACGGTATTCTGAAACCAAATTTTACAAGCATTTCATGATGTTATTATATGCAACATCCAACCATGTCAGAGCCTTACTACTACGATGGGAGTCTGGAAGAAAGTGCAAGTGAGAGCTCCTGCGTCTGTCAGTAAAGTGTACACACTCATTATGCATATGAAACTCCCTAGGAGGGAGAACACAGGCACATCCACATTTTCAGCCTCAAAAGTGTGACGTCTACAGTCCACTGCACCCATATCACATAGGGACATATATTACAATGTTCACAAGACAAGATGCATTCAACAGTGAGGATAATGGCTCTTCAGGTTAATCACCAACAGTCAGAGACACTAATAAAAATCATCTTCTTCTCATAACAAGAGAAAACGAACATGGTACAATTTGCTCATTAAACTAGCTCATTCATTAAAGATGAAGAAGAGGATGAAGCAAGTATTTAATGTTACAGAGTAGTTCCTGGAGACTGGTAATCTTTTATAGAGGCTCAAGACTGTCATGATAACTAGGATAGCAGCTGCATGTGCATTAGCTGTACCTTCTGAGTCCCTCACCACTTCTGTTTAAAGCACCACTGCTTCCCAGTTTAGCTCCATTTTTCTTCCAAGACACAAGCTTTGTGATGCATTAGCTGAAGAACAGATTACTTCCATGCAGATTTTAAAGATTATTGGTAAAACCTTAAATTACAACTCTTGGAAGCAAAAAATGGTCCTGTACATAAATGGGATCAGAGGCGTTATTGTACTCCTAGTGGTGGATGCCCTTCAGACTGTGAAAAGTCTTTTTTTTTTTTCTTCATTAAACTGAGTTTTTTTCAATAGACTTTAGTGGCAAGCCTCAGTACAGCCAGCTAAGGCCACTCAGCCCTGGGGAACAAGAAGGCACCAACATGCTGAGCACTCTGGGGGAAAAGCACGTCTCACAGGATACAGATTGCCAGCTCTGTCACTGGGAGTTGGGAAGTATTTGTGGCTACCTATTTTGTGGATACTCCTCTGTGCTAAAAATTGTATTTTATGCTATGAGGGCAGACATTCAAATGTAGCAGCAGCAAAGCTTGTCACACTGATGGAGAAAATGGTCTCAAACCCATGGTCGCATCACTCTGGTGACTGTCCTACCTACTGTGTTACCATATTTAATAAGACTGCAACTGCACAACCCATTCACAGAGCATTTATGCATGCTTACAGAAGCTCAGGTGAAGCGGGCTTTTCAGCGCTTGGACCTCTTTGCAGGTCCCAAGCAAGTTTAGCTTACCCAACAGCATAGAAACTTTTGAAATTGTGCACCCATTTTCTACCTGAATTCCACTATTACAAGTGCCAAAAGCTTCCCTTTAGATCACAGCCTGAGTTTTCCCAGAGTGTCCTGAGATGTAAACAGGCCATGGGTTTTAGAAGAGTGATCATATCAAGGAGGAAATCACTTCAGTATCAGTGAGAAAGACAGATTTCTCATCCTGGAAAAGTTAAATGTATTTTTGACACTGAGATCTTCCAGATCTGTCACATAAATTAGACCTCAAATATGACCACTGGTATAGAAAAACACAGAAGATAGCTTACTATGGAGACCAGAATACCTTGCACCTATCTACAAAACCATCAATGAGATTGGCATGAAAGTCACCCACAATAAGAAAATCATACCAGAAATCTCACTACTTGTAACCACAGAAGTCTGCAAACAGTCAGACTTGCCATTTTATTTTATCTTAGCATTCATACCCTGGAAAGAATTAGCCAGTTAATCTAATTCTGGATCTAGGCACCTCCTGCCATGAAGACTAGATGCAGAAAGAACAGTTCATCCCTTCCTGGCTAAGAGGTGCTGTGAGGTACAACAGATAACAGAAACACACAATAAATTAACGGTGTAGCCAAATAATTAGGCTGTCACTAAACTACTAATGGCACCAGTGCTCCACGCAGTAGTCATCCACTGCCACCTTCTGTTCTCCTAGGCAATGCAGCACACTAAATAATATTATATCTTGCCCCAGTATCTTTTTGTTACTGCTGAACAAGGAAAGACTGTTTTACCTTTGAGGAAAAAAGAAAACCTTAAAGCAATTAGCATAATTACTGCACTAATTCACTAAGTCTTTTGTACAATCACTTCATAATGTCACTTCAGTAACTTGAGAAAAAGAGTCTGATCTACACGAACTGCTTGGCTTTGAAATTAAGGTACAGGACCCTTGGGAGCACTGAGTAGTACTATGCTAGCTAATTGCTTAGGGGGATCAGTGGGATGAAGATAAAACCATTTAGTAGCTATCGGAGTGTGGTAATGAACACATCACTTCTATTCCTAGAATTCCTCTATATTACCTAATAGCAGTGTGCCAGTGGACAGTGAAGTTCTAAGCTACTATTTTTGCTCCCCAGCCTTTCTTATGTCTGTTACCTGTTTCACATCTCGAACTAGGTGATGCAAAAGTAGGTTTGATGGTCCATGTTTCTGTGGTGTGAAAAAAAAAAAAAAAAAGACTAAACAAACATGTCACTTGGCATTAGAAAATCAATACAGTAAAAGAAAGTAGCTAAAAGATCTTTGCAATAAGCTACTGTGATTCAAACTGTCCCCACTCAAACTCTCCCCACAAGCTTCTTTAAAAACATTTCAACACCAATCTGCAATACCTGTACTATCTTAAATCTTACGTATTCTAGAATGAAGTTGGTATCACTTTGATTAAACAACATATAATTTTCAGTAAAATAAGCATGCATCACATACCAGATTAAAATCAGAACATATTTTTCATGAGTATTCAGTATGTTTCATGTCAGTGAATTGAAAAGGCTGAAACACCAATCCAAAATTCTAACATTATAATAAAAAATTATCAAACCCCATTAATTTTCCATTTTTTTTTCAAAAATCCTTCAAAAAAATGTGGCCTAATTATCAAACCTCTTAGGCAAAACAGTATCCTTTCTAGGCATTTTTATCCGAAGTTGTACACTGGGATTTCAAATACAATCATAGAATCATAGAATGGTTTGGGTTGAAAAGGACCTTAAAGATCATCTAGTTCCAACCCCCCTTCCATGGGCAGGGACACCCTCCACTAGCTCAGGTTGCTCAAAGCCTCATCCAGCCTGGCCTTGAACACCTCCAGGGATGGGGCATCCACAGCTTCTCTGGGCAACCTGTGCCAGTGCCTCACCACCCTCACAATGAAAAATTTCTTCCTAATACTCACTGTATTGTAGAGTTCTTCCAAACGAGATATGGTAAGAAAACGGTGCATGTTCACCCCATGCTCTATTAACAGCTTCACAAAATCCACACGGTCCATCACTAAAGCATCCAGCATTGCCTGTTCCAAGGCACCAACCTCCAGAAGGACAGAGACAAAGGAAAAGCTTAGAAAATTAGTGTTGTCTTTTGGAAATAAACATTCCTGAACAGCTAGGGATCTCTTTATCACAATGATTTGTCTTTACATATATTTAAACTGCACAGAACAAAAGAAAAATACCCTGGAGGAAGCATCTGTGTAAAAAATCCAGCAGAGAGGGGGACTAAAACGGAGTCTCTGTAAACCCAGTATCTGTAGAGATTTCAGCTAGACTCTGACAATACATTCCCTACTCTTGAATTCACTTCAGAAGCTAATGTATGGTAATGCGGGGGGTGGAAGGAAGCCTTTCTGACATATGATGAAAGCCATTTCAAGGTACTGTATTTCAAGAACTCCCTCTAGAAGCTGAAGTTCTTTAAAGCAGACTTCTTCTCAAATATGAGAGAGAATCTGCATTAGGATAAACTCTCTCAAAGACTACAAAACAGACCTGTACCTACAACAGTGTCCAAATGGTGAAAGCACTCTACTCATGGTACTTGCACAGAGCTCAGCAGGATTTCTACATGCAAAATAGCAAAGGAGTTGGACATAAGAGGTTCACATAAATACAGATAAATAATTTCTACAGAACATGTACACACAGAAAACACAGTGGGGTGAACAGAATGAGGACATTGGCACACAATTGGGGCAGACGCTAGTGCTAACTTGGCATGTGAATTTAGTCCTTTCCATGCACGTATTTATGTTTGGTGGAAGTGATATTAAAAGATGACCAATGAATGTTAAAGAATTGTCACGTGAAAAAAAACTTGTGCACTGTTCCTGAATTATTGGTGTTTCTTCCAGAAACATCTCAAAGTGACCATTCTTGTGTTAAATTTCCTTGAGCAGTCATTCCTTTTGCTGGCAGTGTGTCTAAAGAGGTTTAGACAGCCATCTAGTAACTACTAGAATGACATCCTTCATTGTAAAGTCCAGTTGAGACTGAGCTGACAATTTAACAGAAACATACTTACAGCTCATTATAATCCTTACCTTCTGAACTTTTAGGACTAGCACGCTAAAAAGAAATGTCCCCTATCTGTGGATAGTTGTTCATGTTTCCTTAAAAGACTTAAATATGCAGAAAAATGCCACGACTTCATGGACAAATGCACCTACAAAAGCACCTACAAAATGCTGCTTAAATATCCAATTAAAAATTTGAACACACAACCACAATACCCTGCATAAACTGCAGACTGTGACAACTGCAGGTTTGGCAGACCCTGACAGTTGGGGGGATACTCCTCTTTAATTAAGAATGCAACTAAGTCAAAAGCAAATTTTAAAACTGTGCTTGTGCATTTTTTTTTTTCTTCTTTACAATGCATGAAGAAAAATATTGTTATTTAAGAATTTTTTCCTGCTTAGTTGGTGCAGACTCACAGGCCTTGCCAACATATACCTCCAATGATAAAAATGGCAGAAGTGTACTGCTTCTCTCCTACTCCAGTATTATAGAATTTCAAGCAGTAAGATAGACGATGTCTCCCTTTCTTTAATGTCTTACACAGATGTGCTTCAATAAAGCTTATCAACAGTTAGCAGGAAAGTTGTTGAAGGCAAAAAACTAAATAAACACAAATTAAAAAAATGTACATGCTATAAAATAACGAAAGAAGACATTGGGGAAAACACACATTCTTCATAGAGTCAAAACATAACAGGGTATTGTAAAGAAAAATCATAAAGGCAAAACCATGCACACATCATTCTGTGTACACAAATCTTTTCCATTTTCCATAAGACAAAAGTCCATTGGACAGAAATGCTGTTAAGGTTATACAGCCAAACACTCAAAAGTTATCAGATAATTCACCACCATGAATAATGGTACAGTTATTCACTGCTCAAACATACACTACGTTTCCTCAGAGGGCTTAGTCTCACTCAGTTCACAGAGTGAATAATGATCTCTTAGCAAGAAGCTATTCAACATTTTGTTCTAAATTTATTGTTCCAGGCTTGGCACATCCCTTATCATTCACACACTGTTCAAATCCTGAAAATGAAACCAGCAATTTCCTTCTTTGCCTTTTCAGGGAGCACTCGACACCATTCACTTTTACCAGGTTTCATGCAAGAACATGATTTGATTATCTCCACACATGGTGAACTGAGCTCAAAGAGGTAGCAGCAACAAAAAATTCTTTAATTCATGGATAACCAACTGTAGATATCTCAGGTACAGTCTTGCATGTATTCAGCCTTTTACACCACAGTAAAATACACACTGGTGATCAATGAATTCAGTTCTCTTGTTGTGTGAAACAACCAGCTATAGTCACTCAAAGAAAGTATACCCACTGCCCATTTTCCAAAATCTACATTGTAAAGAAGGAAAGGCACTTGGGACTAAAAAGTAATCAGATATAATTTCCTGAAGAAAATATTTACTCTTACAACAAATTAGAATAGCATGTGTTGAGGCACATACAGTTTTACATTTATCATCTATAAAAATTGTAATATGTACATAAAAACTCACCTACAGAGGGTCATACTTAAATACTGGATTACATCTGACAACTTGAAAAACACAATTTACAGGACTGATTCAATTGCTACCGTATGTTCTTTCACATGCATATAGTCAATGTGGGTCTAAATCGTGGCTTGCTTTGATTGCAGCTATTGCTAAGAAACAGTATCTTAAATAATGCCATGATGCCATGTTACCATGGTTAATCCTACCCTTTTTTTTAACCTGGTAACACCATAAAGGACCACGATTCTATACTTCTGTCTAGAACAAGGTAAGCAGAGGCAACAACTGGAGCTTATTGCTTTGGAAAAAAGAGTGCTCCAGGCTACAATGAGATATCCTTGACCACCACCGACTGTCAACACAGGCTTAAGGAACACATATCCAGAAGGACCACTGAAACTATTTGGAAAAGCTAGCAGTGAAAACTACAGGAATTTTAGATAGCACCCCTTCTCTGAGGATACGTGTTTGATTTTTCATCTCATGCACTCTGCGGTTGAATACTTCACCATTTTAATAATTATACCTCTCCAAAATCACAGATGATTACTCTAGAAGACTGACTCCAAGCATCAAACTATTGCTTAGTTAAAGCCTGACAAATGCAAATAACAGAAAATTAGTCATTTTAACAAAGTGTGGAGCCACTGTGAAAAATAAAAGGTAACAGTACCTTCCAGTGTTGTCCATAAACCAGTATGTGTTTCTTGGCAATATCTAGCCGGTTCCAGGCCAATGCCAAATCTAGCTGGTCTGAAGCAGACATATTTGTACCTAGGAAACAAGCAAAGGACCAAGCAGTTTTCACACATTGATGTTATTCCTTTGCTTTGAAAAGGTAAGCCAATGGGACTGTATGTCAGATTAAAACAGGTCATATTTTTAGTTAGGGTACCTTTTAAAAGTGCAGTCAGAATTGCCAAATCAATGTCCTGCTGATCTTCTGACTCCACATCAAATATGGTTATCTGTTAGAATTGCAGAAGTATACTATTTGAGGTGAGGCAGAGAAGTCTGTAGTTATTTCTTCTTGGTAAGGGCTGTGGTAGATTAAATCATACATGTTTCAACACAAACAATGGCAAAGACCCAGACATGACTTTGTTTTGTTTCAGACAGAGAATGCACCATTTTCCTTTTTAATACAATGGCATCCCAAGCAAAATGGCATCAACCTACTGCATAATAACACAAGTCTATTTCTCTTTGTTTAGCCTTTAAAGTTGAGAAATGTAAAAATGCAATATGGTTGGTACCTACCCAGTTTTAGAAAACAGACACTGAAATAAAGTAAAACAAAAAATAACAAAAACATATTGGGTAGTTCTCATTTTAGTGATCATTGCTACAACTGTCATTACTCTTGTAACAAACACTTGGTACTCCATATTTGAAAAGTCACGGCAGTCCAGTGATTGAAGTTCCCAGTGACTGGAAAAGGGGAAACACACCCCTCATTTGTGAACAGGGAAATAAGGAAGACGTGGGGAACTACAGGCCAGTCAGTCTCACCTCTGTGCTTGGCAAGATCATGGAACAAATATTCCTGGAAACCATGCTAAGGCACATGGAGAATAGAGGTAAGTGGTGACAGCCAGCATGGCTTCACTAAGGGCAAATCATGGCTGATAAATTTGGTGGCCTTCTACAATGGGGTCACACTCTTGGTGGATAAGGGAAGAGCAACTGATGTCATCTACCTGGACTTGTGCAAAGCATTCAACACTGTCCTGCACCACACCCTTGTCCCTAAAATGAAGAGATATGAATTTGACAGGTGGACCACTTGCTGGATAAGGAATTGGCTGGATGGTCACACTCAGTTTCAATTAATGGCTTGATGTCCAAGTGGAGTTCAGTGGTGGGTGGTGCCCCTCAGTGGTGCGTATTGGGACCAGTATTATTTAATGTCTTTGTCAGGGACGTGGACAGTGGGATTGAGCGCAGCCCCAGCAAGTTTGTGGATGACACCAAGCTGAGTGGTGTGGTTGACACTCTAGAGGGAAGGGATGCCATCCAGAAGGACCTTGACAGGCTAGAGAAGCAGACTCATGAGAACCTCATGAAGTTCAACCAGGCCAAGTACAAGGTCCTGCAGCTGGGTCAGGGCGATGCGTGGATTGAGAGCAGCCCTGTGGAGAAGGATTTGGGGCTATCGGTGATTGCAAAACTGGACATGAGCCAGCAATGTTCACTTGCAGCTCAGAAAGCCAAACGTATCAAAAGCCATCCAGTCTGCATCAAAAGAAGCGTGACCAGAGGGAGGTGATTCTCCCCCTCTACTCTGCTCTCGTGAGACCCCACCTGGAGTACTGTGTTCAGCTCTGGGGTCCCCAACATGAGAAAGACATGGACCTGTTGGAACGAGTCCAGAGGAAGGCCACAAAGATGGTCAGAGGGCTGGAGCACCTCCCCTATGAGGACAAGCTGAGGGAGTTCGGGTTGTTCCACCTGGAGAACAGAAAGCTCCAGAGAGACCTAATAGCAGCCTTCCAGTACCTAAGGTGGGCACTCTTTATCAGGCTGTGTAGAGACAGGATGAGGGGTAAAGTTTTTAAACTGAAAGAGGGTTGATTTAGATTAGATATTAGGAAGAAAATTTTTACTGTGAGGGTGGTTAGACACTGGAACAGGTTGCCCAGAGGAGCTGTGGATGCCCCATCCCTGGAGGTGTTCAAGGCCAGGCTGGATGAGGCTTTGAGCAGCCTGGTCTAGTGGGAGGTGTCCCTGCCCATGGCATGGGGATTGAAACTTCATAATCTTTAAGGTCCCTTCCAGCCCAAATCGTTCTATGACTCGCAAATGAACACCTGAGCTGCTAAATGTGCCCAAACGAGCACATTTCAAAAGTGCATTTCAATAATCAGAGACAAGCTCTAGCATAATTCTGTTATGAGCAGATGAAAGGACGGAAACATTTCTAAATTACAAATATGCCACTACTAGAGAAGAATAAAAGTACTTTATCTTTCCTGGAAAAAAAAAAAAAATCTGGCCTTTTGCTAAAATCAGAAAGGCTGTCATTTCATAACCAACCACTGAGACTTGAGAAGTTAACCAAGCAGATTCTGTGGAGCTATCCAATAAATAAATTAGCACAGACACCTTTGTGTTATCTTTATATTAGAGATAACACCATTCCATCTACAACTGCTGTGTCCATGGCAACACACCGCAGAAAGCAAAAAGGGTAATAGCAAAAGAAGACATCCTAAACTCAGTTCATGAACACCACTCACGGACTCTCTGTGCTCCATGCATTCCATCAAAATGTGAAATAGATGACTGGACTGTTTCTGTCCCAAGCTAAATGTTTTTTGAATCATCACTAAAACCTCCTCCTTCACTTGAGGACGCAGCTCCCTGAAAAACAGATATTCAAGCAAGAATAAGGATATTTTTAGCTGCTTCTTACCAGCCCAATTGACACCTCAGCAGAAGACAAAACTTGTGCTAGGCAGAGAGACATTTGAGAAATCTCTTTTATTTCTACTTCTCTCTTGACTTATTCCTGCCTTCATTCACCAAAACAAAGCAAAGATATCCTGTAACATAAATTGTTATTCACACAGACATTAGTTCTGACCATACATATATACAGAAATAGGACAAATGAAAAAGTTAACAATTTTCAAAGGATTGTCGTGACTATAATGCTAAAAAGCACTAAAAGTTTAGGAAACTTTTTCTTTCTTTTAATAATCATATAGGGATAAAAATAAATTCCTCATTATTTGTTCATCAGGCTTCATACCTCTCCCATCTTTTTTCTCCTCATTTATCTTTCTGTTAACCCTTCTGTTCATATTCACCTTTTCATTTGAAATGGCAGGATTTTTTTTTTAAAGACCAAAAATAAGGAAGAAAAAGCAAGTGAAGAATAAAGTTCTCAGTAGAACACACTAGGGAAAAATGCCACCCCTCCAAAAGAATATTTAGAAAATAAATAAACAATTAAGATA